TCAGGAGCATGTGTATGTATAAGTCATAGATTCGACTTGTGGAATCAGCTGGTGATGCAACTCTAATTGCAAGATGCTTTGGGCAATGATCTGCCTTTCTGCAACTTTGACTACTTTAATTTCTGCATTCTTTGAAAGGAATGGACAGTGGGAAACAAGACACAAGTATAAGGGGAGACATTGTGTGATTACTATGATCTTTTTGTCTGGTTGTGCTAGTCTCATTGAACCAATGACATGGAGAAGTGGCCCAAATTCCTAGAACTACTACTTTTTATGAGTTATAGTCCGCACTAAGCTCCCACTATGATCGGAGTTCTAAGAAGGACCAGACCAGAAGGGTCTATTGTATGCAGATGGATTTTATACTATGCAAGTGCAAATTAACAGCCAGATAAAAAAGGCTTAAAGTTCCCTTAGAAGTAGAGAACAGTACAGGAGAAAACATTGGCACCACAAAGTTTGACTCCAATTTATTGATACAGTCATTTCCAAAGAACAAAATAATGATTCACTACATATAGTATAAATTGTAGTCAGACACACATAAGAAACTTATATAAATACTTATATCTGAAAGCTTAGTTTCTCAGTGTTTGTGCGTAGCATGTGAGACCGATAATAGGTAACAGAGATAACAGCATTCAGAGCAGATGAAAAAGCTAAGTCAGAAGAATACCTTCTGCATTCTCAACAAAACGAGTCAAAAAGGTTCCTTCTTTTCCCGACTCCACTTGAAACAGAGACCCGAATGGACAACCTATAAGAGGCTGAAGAGAACACTTCTTATTCCCAATTTTCAATGTCCTGAATGCACAACACAACTTCTCCATCAGTTCAAAAATTCATAATCCAGTTAAAAAAACTGCATCTTTATGCACTAAAATCAATCAACTATATCTCAATTACAAAACTAAATGCAGCAGACAGAAGCAAAAAAATCGGAAGTAATTACTTACGAGGCAGCAGTAAGACGAGAAAAAACTAAACGGTCGCCATCATTGATGTCAAGCAATACATTGCAACCTTCATAAGTTAATCTACTATTATGATTTTGCTTCAAATCCTCATCAACTGCTTTTTCAATCGACATGTTGTTGTTTTTTGCTGCTAAAAAATCAATCTTTAAGCATTAGATGAAGCAGTAGAGAAGGAAGTTACACTATAAGCTTCAGTTCTCTGTTAGTTTAAACCCTAGAACCCTAAACGATGGGTAATTTACAAAACAGGGACTGTAATTTAAACAAATGAATATTTGGGCACTAAAATGGTGGGGGATTTAAAATTGGGATAATTCACGAAAGGGGAAATTTCAATTTGCCCCCTAAACTTTAGGTATTTGGTAAAAATCCTCGAAAGTTTTTATAGTAGCAGTATTACCCCCTAATTTATGAAGGTTGACTTCCAATAGACATCAAGCCCAATGTAAGTCAATATCATATATTAAGGGTCAACTCAATTTATGTTAGATCTAGACTTATTTCAATCCAACTTGTATCTAATAATGTTTTGTTAAGTAAATGTTAGTATATGCTAAACGAGAATTCAATTATTTATTATTTACTCAAATCATTGAGTTCGATTGTTTTTTATATATTGGCATATTGAAATATCATAATATGACAATTTTTATGATGTATATATGCATAAGAAATCATAAAATATCAAATATCGTGTCTAGAGTGAGAAATATTGTATTAAGATCAACCAAATTTCTAGACTCGGCTCTAGATATAACTATTTTGTATGAAATTTCATAATAACAAAAAAATAGATCTACTTATATACTTTTGTTATAGGAATTAAGGGTATATTTTTGAAATATACATGCACATATAAGCAAGTGAATATGAAAATTAAATGTTTATACTGGTATTAAATCTGTTGATACTAGCAAAAGAGTTGGTATTGGTAGTTGTGACTAAAATTAAATCGATTATTATTATTATCCGGAGGATGGAGTAATAAGTAATATATTATCACTATAAATTATATTGATTAATATATATAAAATATTTGCATTATTATATACTTATAGTGTCCATTAGTGAATTAATTAACAATTGTATTGTATGTGGATGAGATGAGAAAAGGGAAATGGTGAACAGGTCCGCATATTTTGGGACGACAAGGGAACACCTTCTGCAATATCTTCTCTTAGTGAATGGTTGGCCAAATCAACATCTGACTTCTAACCACTCCATTAAGATGCTTGCATTTTTTAATAATTAACTTGATAGTAAAAACAATAAATATATAGAAAATAATATCCGTAAGGGGAGTCTTGAAGCAACAATAAAGTTGCATCAGTATAACCTATAGGATCACGACTCACGAGTTTGAGTTGGAGAATAACTGAGTACAAATTCTTACATCAAGCTAAGATATATAAACTGTCTACATTAACCTCGTTGGGTGCAGTACGTCCCTCCTTGGACGATGCAAACCATAATTTTGAGTTGTAGAATATATGAGTTATTGATGCTTGCGTCAGGATAATCTTAGCCATTCGTCCAACCAATTTTTTACAGCCAAAAAGATAGTAATAATAAATTATTTAATTAGGGAACAAGTATTTAGTTAAGTATTTTTTTTTCCTGAGGTTTTTTGTTTATCTGCTGGCTATCCACTTAAACTGCAAGTTGTCTAGATCTATAGGCAAAGCATGTTCCAATTTCACATGTTGCTAAGTACCTAAGGCCCTAAAGTGGCTAAAGAGAGATAGGAAGACATTGTGGACATATAATAGGGATGTTTTTTGGGAATTTGTACTGAAAAGAGAGGCACTTTGTTGAATTTGAGGGACCTAAATGGATATATATACATATATAATAATAATAATCATTCACAAAAGTCAGTCACCCTGTTGGTGTTTACTAGTTTTCTTGGCAAAATATGTGTGGTTTCTTTTGTCATTTTTCATTTTTCATTTTGCTAATTATTGGAATCTTCAAACCCACCATGTGTTATGAGGAACAAATTGACTAGTCATTCCAAACTAAGGAGAAAGTGCGTACATATAAACATTCAGAAGCTTCCAAACGTTTGAGAGTGATCCCATATAAGATACACTCCCTTCGTTCCCTTGTGTCATATACGACGAGTGTATCTCACGCGAATTGTCATGTACGATTCATGTGTTACCTTGTTTAATTTTATCAAATTTAAATGTTTACTTGTGCACATTCAAAATTTGATTGTATAGATGTAAACTGAGATCAAGTTAAAGAATACGTTTATGTATTATATCATGTCAAAAAAATAGTGTGTTAATATTAAAAACGGATTAATTTCGTCGATTTTCTTCAATTCTGTAATTATAAAATGCATCCATAGATTTCCAAGCAATTATTGCATGCGAGGAAGTGCGTAGATATAAACAATGAGAAACTTCCAAAAGTTTGAGAGTGATCCCAAAGGCCATAAGATGTATAAAGTGGTGAAAGAAAAGATATTAATGTGAAAAAATGGAAAATGACTTAATAACTTGTTCTTTCTTGAAGTCTCTTCTTTTACACTCAAAGTCATTGATTCTTGATTTTTTCTATTATTAAAAAAAAAAGAAAAAAAAAGAAGATAAATTTATGGATTTTTTCGAGTACTATTATACAAAGCAAATTTAGAATGTAGAGTTAGAAAGTTTAGAATGTGTCCAAATTTATATTATACACTTACATGTTTTGAGGGTTTTTTACTTTCTTCTTTTGCATGTACATACATATAACATATCTCACGTTGTTCATAATTCGTCTAAAACACAAATTATTTGGACTAGTATTCTACATGCGAGGTCTAACCGAAAGCAAAGAGTACATGAGTAAGTGATTAAGAAAATAACGTAGAAAAACTTCATAATATCATACTCCTAAGAAAGAATTAGATATAGTAACATTTCACATTAAGTGAAACTAGTTATTTGAAAAATAAGAAGATAGACCAAAATGGAACAAATTAAATTGCACGTTATGTACTATGAATCTGCCTATGAAGTGTTTTAAAGTGATTTTTATTAAAGAAACAAAAAAATGTGGAAAGAAATATAAAATTGAAGGTGCCTTTAGTGTGTGTATATACTATATGTGTTAAATTTAATGCAATTTTCTTTAAAACGAAATAACTTAAACCGGTAGTCAACATTTTTAAAATCGAATGTGTACATTTAAGTCACTTCATAGTGTAGACTCCACTATGGTTGATCAACTATCAATTCACTCGGTCTTGCCAAAGTCAAATCTAATTAAATTAATGGTTGAGATTAGAAGGGAAAAATCAATTTGATCAAGTATAGATTAATCAAGATATACATCAAAGACAAAAAAAAGTAGACAAATCTATGTATACCATCAAAAATTATATGTGATAGAATAAGATTCCTTCATTTTTAATTATCAATCTCGAGTAGTAGTGGAGTAGTAAGTATTTTTGCATTTTTAATCATAGGTCTCGGGTTCGAGTCTTTTTGGGTATGAAGTCGTGTTTGTTAGAGAGCGTTCTACCCCAATATTGAACCTCCCAACGCGAATTCGAATTTAGTCGAGCTCCAATGTGAGTATCAGATACCGAATAGGAAAAAAAATATCTCAAGTTCACATTCTAGTTATGGAAAAAGTTTAAGTAGAGAGTTTTCCCCCTTTTAATAGGTTTTAAGTGATGCTTCCTTAATCAAAAGTCTCAGCTTCTAAATATGAAAAAGGTTCCGGTAGAAAGCACATCCCTTTTTAATGAGCCTTACACAACACAACGTGATGAATAGAATTATTCTACCTTAATCAAAAGTCTCATATTTTGAGTAAAGAAATTTGTGACAAGGAACACGTTTTCCTTTAACATGTCATACGTAACACAAATCTAAATTAGTCAGACTTCAATATGAATACATTACACCAGAGAGCAGTAACTAGAAAAAGACAAATACATCAGGATTATATTATTATGCTAAGAAGCAGCAAACAGAATATTAAATACAGTAGAGGGGGAGTAGATAATAAAGAAGCCCAACTTTTTTTTTCCCCATCTTGGATCCCTCTCCATTAATAAAAAGAAAGAAACTACACACTCTTTTACAGTAATATAGAAAAGTTAGAACAAACTTCTCTCTCTTTTTCTCTTATGAAGAAGAGAACTACTTCTTCTTCTTCAACAATTCCTCTGTTTTTTTTCCATTTTCTTGCTCTGTTTTTAATGGCACTTTTAACATTTTTACCAGAAAATACCCAAAAAGATCAACCTTCAAAGAGAAGGAAAAAACAACAAAAACAGAACAAGGAGAAACAAAAGCAGCCATCTTCATGGGATCAATTCAAGAACTTATTGACTTGCAAACAAATTGAAAACTCAACTGTTCATGATCCTGCTTCCAAGAACCCTCCTTCTTCTTCTAATGCTCCTGCTGGAGCTTATTCAAAGTTGAGTTCTTGTAGCTCCATATGCAGTTTCAGGTATTAATTACTTAATTATATTATATCTCGGTAACGTGATTCTTTTTTCATGGATCAAATATGTGGGATTTTTTTTTACAAATTTGAACATCTCCTTTTGTACCATGTTGAATGCGTAAACATCTTTAAAAAACATTAAGTCAAGAATAGCCATTTTATGATCTTGTAATTAAAAAATAATCATATATACTATTTTTTTTAGGATTCATACATGCATTGATCTAATCGAATAATCTGCGCTATCTATATGCACTTTCTTTTTTACCATATGCGATAAAAAAAAATCATTTTCATATAGAAGCAAACTCTTCAAATTAATAATAGAAACTTTGTGATTGTATCTTAAAATTTCATTCTAAGAATTTGAAACTTTATAATAATGATTATTTTTTTCAATTGTATTGACTAGAAAGTGATTATTTGTGGATATTATCCAATTTTAAGTTGTTAGAAAAAAATTACTTCGTATAATTTTAGTTATTTAATTATATTATGTCTCGATATCATCAGGGATGTGGTACATGGCAACACAAGAGTGGTACATAGAGCTGATAATTCCCCAGAAAGTAGCAGTTTAGGCCAAGAAACTCGTCTTCTAAGCAAGAATAAAACATCTCATCATGGCCCTTCATCTTCAAGTTCGAGGTCTCTTGCTAGATCAAACGGTGGTGGTAGCTCCACGTGTACTACTTCATCAAGAGGAATGCAGTTTCGTAAGCTATCTGGATGTTATGAGTGTCACATGATAGTAGATCCTAGCAGGTATATTTTTAATTTTAATTTCATTTTTCTAATACATTTTATTTGTGATTAATAATCTTGATATATAGTATTAATGAGTGAAAATATTAATTAATTTTTTATAGGTATCCTTTACCAAGGTCAACAATATGTGCATGTCCTGAATGTGGAGAAGTTTTTCCAAAAATTGAGAGCTTAGAACATCATCAAGCAGTTAAACATGCTGGTAAATCTTTTATTTTCTTAATTTCTTGTTTTATGTTTGAAAAATCTCAAATACTCCCTTAAAAATAAGTATAAATAATTTTCTATAAAAACTTTTATATATATATATATATATATAAATTAGTATCCTGAAAAACATATGCTTTAAGAAGTTAAATAGATACACTTAATAATATCAAAATGATTGTCTATTATTCGTATCTATAAGTTAAATCCTTATATATTATATTTTCTTTCCTAGTTATACTCATATTCCTTTTGTTTAGCTTAGGGAGGGGTGGGAGTGGGGGTTGTGTGGAAAATCTCTTTTAGAAAAGTGACATAAAGCTAGTCCACACAAAATAATATATAATCGACAGATATATAGTATATACACATTATATATGTATATTAACTAGTAAATTTTGATATTTTTTATTGAGCAGTCAAATGTGTAACTTTTCGTTTTTAAATACTTAATTTGCTCATATTTTTCCTAGAAAAGCATGATTTCAATCTAGTAAAAGGAGACAAGCTTTAGACAACATTTAAGCTTTGAATTGTTTTAGGCAAAGTTCAAATTGTGTTAGTGGAAGCAAAACGGAATTGTTAATACAATTTTTATAAAATAATAATGTAAAGTACGTTAATTAAATGTATATTTGTGATACACTGGTTGAACCCCCAATAAATACTTTGCTTTTTTTTTCTGTGGACCAGTACTTAAATATTTTAAGGACCATCTAGAGTAATATTTGCCAACTACCTCTTCATAAAATTGAAAAGAGCTATACAGTATATATTATTACATGTAGGAAAAATTTAATTGCCGAATAATTATTTTCTTTTTTTATTATCATATGTCACACCGACAACATGACACCCTAAATTACTCATACTAAAATTAATTAAAATCTTAATTAGTTTAATAATGTTGAAGATTATTTTATTTTGTTTAATTAAGAATGCATACATAAGAAGAATCGAATCTTTAATACTGAGATATTACTTGTCTTTGAATCATCAGCATTTGGTAGCCCACTCCACTTAATAATTAATGTTTTCTTATCTTGTTTAGCTATTTAAGTTCTAATTATTTATCATAGTACTAAATATGGAATAGCTTATTCCTAAATAATTTCATAATTAGTTAATAAACATTAACACCCATAATTGGTTGCTGGTTGGCCATTAAGATTTGATATCTTACCAACTAGAAATGAGACCCCATTTATTTTCTTCGGTTTTCTTTGTTCACATATTTTTTTGTTGAATGTTGAAATTGTCATGACTAAAACAAATTGAAAATAAAAATTCATATAAATTATAATTAGTTGAATTCATTGTTTACTTTTCTTAGTCGATATTTATATATTTGTTATATGTTTGCGGGTTAATTTTAATTTAAGCGATTGAACGAAGATTATTTACATAAAAAAATTTATAATTTATTTTCAGTGTCAGAGTTGGGTCCGGAAGATTCAAGCCGTAACATAGTGGAAATAATCTTCAAATCAAGCTGGCTCAAGAAGGATAATCCAATCTGTAAGATCGAACGGATATTAAAAGTCCACAACACCAAACGTACGATCCAACGGTTCGAGGACTGCAGGGACGCGGTAAAGATACATGCAGTGGCCACAGGCAAGAAAAACCCAAGATGCGCCGCTGATGGAAATGAGCTGCTTAGATTTTACTGCACGAGCCTTACATGCACTCTCGGTGCACGTGGCTCGTCCAGCTTGTGTGGCTCCGTACCCGGCTGTGGAGTTTGCACTACCATACGCCACGGTTTCCAAGGAAACAAAACTAGTGGGGTCCGCACTACTGCTAGTAGTGGGCGGGCCCATGATTGTCTCGGTAGTGGTATGGCCCGACGCAGAGCGATGATCGTGTGTCGGGTCATTGCTGGTAGAGTCAAGCAGACCGCAAAAGATGTGGGGGCTTCTCCCACGACAGAGGAGGAGAATTGCTCTGGCTCTGGTTCTGGTTCTGGTTCGAGCTTGTCAGCTACTGACTCTATCGTATACGATTCAGTAGCCGGACATGCAGGGATCTACTCGAATCTCGAGGAATTATACGTATTTAATCCAAGGGCTATACTTCCATGCTTTGTCGTGATATACGAAGCATTGGAATCTTAGGCTTAACGTTTTTTTTATTTGTACTTGAGCTGTTTGTACGGTTGAGTTTGTTTTTTCTTTTTTGTTGTATCCTTAAATTTATGTAACTAATTTCAAGTTAGTTAAAAAATTGTAACACCCGTGAGGTAATGCTGATCCAACTATGATTTTTGTACATATTTATTTATTTTATTTATTTGCCTTTTTTACATATTGTTAGTTAGTTGAAGGTGAGTAAATACATTGATGTTTTAAGTTTATCTACCCAACTGTACCATAATAAATAGTATCTTAAAATGTGGCCCCTCAATTTATGCTTGAAAAAAAATGCCGTCCTTCAACATTTAACTTGTCATTTTCTATGTCAATATATGTTACCCCACCAAATTCCTTTACTCTTTCACGATTTAAGTTATAAGTACTGACAATACAAAAATATTTATGTCGTAATATCAATTTTGTTATGAAGATTTATATATTTAACCTGATCGTATAAACAAATTATACATGATAGTGTAGGGAACTTCAACTCTTTTTTTTTTTATTGAAGGTTTACGTTTCTTCTTCTAAAGCTGCAAGAAATAAAGGTAAAGAAACTGAAGGATATGGATAGAAGTAGGGTAAAGGAAGCATTATAGTACTCAAAAGGATAACTTTGAACTGTAGATAATTTCTACAGAGTTGGGGCCAGAAATGAGTCAAAAAAGAAGACAAAATGATGATAGTAATTTTATTGAAGTAGTACCTAACTGATTGATTAATTGATAATTAATTACAGTTCCTAAAGTAATTACCAAAATCAAGGAAAAAAGTTTGGTTCGCTTAGTTACTATTTAGCATGTTTTGTTGTGCGTTCATATTTGTTACTTACTAAAAGATATACTAGTAGTAAAAGCATTTAAGGAGTGAATTCGTAAAATTATTTGCTTATTTATGATTCTTGATATGCATTTAAATAGAAAAATAAATACACTTTCTCTTTCCGGGCTCCACTTTTTGTGGCTATATACACTGAGTGAATATGTCTTAGTGTACCAGTAAAAATTGTAATGAAATAATATTTCATTTTTAATCAGAGATTATGGTGAAATGATAAATATTCTTTTGTCTTTAGCGAGAGTTTGTATGGTTAGCAAAATTAAAGGAAAAAAGTTGTTGAAGTAACCGCATGAATCAATCAATCACATAAATGTATTTTTTTTTTCTTGTTATTACTGGATGAGCTGGGAGGGCACGTGGGGTTAATATTGGGACCACTACAAAATTAATTTTAACTTTAGAATAGAAAAGAGATGATAACACTTTGACTGCAGTGATGAACTAAAAATATATACTCAATTTTCCCCCGTAACATTATTGCTTACACATGCAATTGCATATTTTATTTTTCTTTCTCTTGACTATCATTTGATTAATAGAAATAATTCGAACTTCAAAAATATTATCACCCGTCCACAAATTAACGTGTGGGAAACTCAATAATGAGTTTTATTATATCGGGAAAAACACATAGGTATACACATGCATGATGCAAATAAGCTCTTAATTCAGTAAAGTTCAAAACATTTTTGCTTTTACTTACTCTGTCCCTGTGCTTGTTAAATTTTGACTCAGCACATCCTGTAAAAAATAATAATGATTGATATAGTAAATTTATCATTTTATCATTATTAATTGATACTTATAATTTTAAACATATTTACTCACTATATTTTTCAAATACATTAACTCAACATTAATAAATTGAGTGTAGTAGGAAGGAATAAAATTGTTTTTCCTTGAGTTGTCAAAAATGACAAGTAAAAAGAGAAATCAAATTAGAAAATATTTTACTAGTAAATAAAGACGGAGGGGGTATTTATTTATTGGGTAATACTAAATGGCCAGAAAATTTGGTCAGAAAATTTTTAAAGTGTATAATATGTTTTTTTATTTTAAAATAAACTGTTTTTTTTTTTTTCATATTTTGATTAAAAGGGTAAAAATATTCAAAAAGATAAAATAGCATAGATAAAAAATTATTCTGGCCAAAAAGATTTTTCCTTATTTATATTGGAGAATGTAAAATAGACCATGGGAGTAGCGATTCTTGGTTTCCACCCTCTCGTTGTAATAGATAATTAATTATGAATGAAGATCACTGAATATCTTGCATTTACTTGTTTTAAATGGTGGGAAAATGATGAGTATTAAATTGTATAGTTTGAAATGGAAACTTAGCACATCTCCCTCCTTATATTCTGATTTTTGAAAACTGAGATTCGCATTAATACATTGTTGTACGTGTACACGTATCCACCATTCTGCCAATATGTTCTTTATTGTTTAAATATTACTCATACTTCTTTTGTTAGTTATTCTTAAAACTGAGCTGGCACTCATATAGCTATATTACTTATGTGATGTAAAAAATATTTAACAATTACTTTGTTCACACAAAACAAAATTTGCAAATGAATCTCACATTACACGAGTTCTTATAAGGTTTAGATAATTCTTCTCGATCTCTTTGAATTGATTTTTGAGGTGTGAGTTAGGTTATCCAAAAATTAATTTGACATGGTATCAGAATCAAACTTGATTCGATGTGGACCTCCAAGTCCCGAACCATGCAGGGGTGGAATGTACTCCATAAATGTGCATGCACCGGATCGGACAATGGAATTCCAATTTCCAAATAAAGAATGTCCAGATTTGGGCATGAGGGGGTGAAGAATGGATGAATCCCACATTGGTGAAGGACGAGAATCCTAAGTTTCTTATAAGGCAAGGACAATCCTCCTAGGGTGTGAGTTATGTCCGAAGCTTAATTTGACAAGTAAGCCAACAATATACCCAGTATGTTATTGTAAGTGGAGTCTGGAATACGCAAATCTTATCCTTCCCTCGAGTGTGAGAGCATTGATATATGGTAGGATAAACAAACTTAGGCAAGCACGCAGATAGATATATAGTGGCTTGGAGGATTGCTATTTAAGGCATATCCAAAATTGTAAAGTTTTTAATGTTTAACCGTTTCAAAGTCAACTTCACACCTTACGAGATTGAAATTGAAAATTTCAGATTAAGATTTTTAATTGAAAAAAATCAGATTTGGATGCAATTTAAGACCTCTGATAAATTTTCTTGTGATGTAAATTTAGTGTGATATGAATATGTTTTTTCATGAAGATTGGACGGACAGTAGTGATTATAATTTGTGAATTTTGATTATAAATTAAATACTTTGAGAAAGTTAGATATAACTTAAATATTACACCTAAAATCGGCTACATGTTTGCAAATCAGACGGTTGAGCCCACCAAGTTATCTCAGGATTGGGCTCTAGTTGATTGCAGGTTCTTGTTCCATGGGCTTGGTTTGGGCTTCCTACCACATTGGATTAGGCCTTCTTTTTTCATTCCTCCAATGAAGATTTTCATACATTGACAATTAATACAAGTAGTCCTTTTACTAAAATTCTATAACTTCTAGAAATAAAATAGAGCTTTTATTGATCAATTTATTTTCATCTATCTAAACCACAATAGACAGGGTTATTCGATATTTATTATGGTCGATACAATGAATCTTCACAGATAGTTAGTCCATACTAGTGTTGATGGGAGACAACAAATAGTTGATGTGCGAACTTAGTGTTGGTGGGAGACAACAAATGTTTGACATAATATAGTAGGTAATTTTTTTTTTTGTATGCCTAAATCTCGATAGACTAAGTTATTCGATGACCGGAATACAGTTAAGCCTTGATAAACAAAGTAATTATTCAAGGTGAGAGATAATAAATGCCTGAATATAATTAAGGTGCGAACAAGATAATTTGAATAAGATATATAGTTGTAAAAAAATCAACTTCATCCAATATCCAATGGTAAAACCAAAATTAATCAAGCTAATAATTAACCTTTTAAAACAAACTATCTCATAGAATTTGAACTCAAAACAACAAATAATTTTTGACGTATAATAAAGGCCCAAGCACATGCAGTACTCATTTGGGAGTGATTCTTAGAGAATATTATCTTAGGAAAAAGGCAAGTTATTATTGATCATACTCATTAATGTCGTACTTTTAAAACTTCTTTGCTTTTAATTAAAAACTAGGCCAGTCAATCATGTCTTAGTGAACTTGCTGTCTATTACTGATTTAATCATTTAAATATAAATGTGATTAGCAAGTCATCATATATAATTCTAGTTTTTTCATCTCATAAATGGCAAGTAGATAATCACCTTATATGCTTTGTCGTTACCTATAGCACAAAAATTCACCTTTTTTATTGGATGATATTTTATTACTTTTGAATCAATCTATGCATTATAAAAATATTCACAACATATACATAAAATATAATCACACTCATTTTGAACGTCTCAGTAACTTTAAGCTAGACTATAGCATACAAGTTTGGCCGAAGTCAAGAATTTCAATCTAAACTCTAAATTGTCTTAAGTAATTCATTCTAGTTACATGTATAAATTAGTAATTTAGAATAGATCGAGTAACTTAAAAGACTCAAATTTTCGAATCATAAATTTCAAATTTTAATTTTACGTGTGACTTTAATTTGAGTTTGTCAATAATTATTCATAAGAGTTAGTTTAAGAAGGATAGAACCAATGATATTAATTATTACCATGCTAACATGATTATTTTGAGTTAATATTATATCATAGTACAAGACATGATTATTACTTGGAAGTTAATGAAATTAACAATATAAATAAACAAATGTACTTTGAAAAGACAGCAAAAGCCTATACATATGATTTGGTCACATGGTTAAAGAATTAAAACATCATCTTTTTCCAATTTTCATAAATATATATAACCTTATTATAGCCAAAACTTATAACAAAATACAAAGGCTTTTGTGTTCTAACATCAAAGAGAAACAACAATAATGTACACTAACAAAGCTTCTATTCAAAGAGAAAGCTTTGTTATTCAAGTTTCAGAAAATTTTCAATCTTCATCACAAGCTATTAGCCCTTCTTCTAATAAATTAATCAATTTCTCCGCCATGAAGCTTTTCGATCGCTTCCGCAAAATCGTCATGCGGTTCGTTTTCCCCGTCCCGACGTCCGGCCGAAGGAGGTCGAATCGGGCTGGGGAAACAATGTCGGCTTCCGGGCCGGGCTCAGGACAAAGACGGAGATCCTGTGACCGGCCCGACCCGCCGAAGACCTCATGTAGCTCCTATTATTCATCAACTTCTCATTATAATGAAGCTATTGCTGATTGTATAGAGTTTTTCAATAAGTCGTCACAAGATCAAGGGATTTTTAGTGGTAGAAAATCGGACGTTATTGTGTGATTATTATTTATTTATTTTGGCTAAAGTAATTAATTATGTGCAACCATGCTTGTAGCTTGTGTTGTTTTATATATTTTTTTGAATTTTATGAGTTCAAATTTGATGTTGTAAATTTAAACATAGTTGTATATGTGGAATAGCTGATTTGATTTTCTAAATCTACACAATCTATTCAATTACAGGATTCCCATAAGAAAATATGAACAATAATTCCCAAAATATTAATTTCTGAAAATCGAGTCCAAATCGACCTAAAAAGTCGTACATTTTTCCTTGTCAAATTAACTTCAAAACTGGAGTAAAATATTACTATATAATTAACTCTATTAGAACTTCATTTTCCGATTAATTTTAAAGGAGATTCACCGCAAAAACCTTGTCTTTAAATAGATACTATCGGAGAATGATTTATTTTTAATTTTTCTGACGAAATTTAGCTATTCTCGAAATTTTGTAAAACTCATTCGAGATTTATATTATTACAAGAAGCAAAAGGAATTACATGTCATAATTAATAGTATATCTCTTATTGAAAATTTTACACAAAGAAATCAAATATGAATGTTAACCAACCTTACTTTTCACACTTTGATTTCAAGCAAAACCATTGGAAAATTATAAATGAAACTCCTTCCACATCAAGTTATGAAGATCCAAACAGGACACAAGCCTTGAGATCTCTCTTTTGTTCGCGCATTTTAAATTCGAGAAGATTGAATATTATTATCAGAATTACTACCTCTCTTCCTAGAAAAAAATCCCCCAATCAATGGAATAATTAGGGGTATTTTTATCTTCTTCTTCTTGTTGATTGAAGGATGGTTTTGTAAGACAACATGATCATGATCACCTTGTGGAGGATTTGCAAATGTGACATATCTTTTTTTGTGAAACTCAACATTATTTTGATCATGTGACATAATTTGTGATTTCTCTATAAATTTTAGGTCTTCAATTTCTGATACCATAACTTTTTGTTGCTCAAATTTTAGCTTATCAAGCTCATTTCTTGTGCGTTCAAGTTCTTCTTCTAAAGAAGAGAGACAAGTAGCCATTACCAATCTTTCTTCTCTTGCCCTTTCTAGTCTTTGCTTTGTCTCAATTAACTCATCATTAAACGAGTCGTCGCTTTCGTCTTCATGACTCGATCCATCTTGTTTCTGAAAAAATAATAATTAAGTTATATATACTGACAGTGTAAATAATATTTATAACATCTACGTGAGTTACATACCTTGTTGTTTGCAAGTAACATAATTTGATGATTTACTAATATTTGGTGAAAATGTAGGGAACTTGAACTTCATAAAATGAACTACTTCATTGTATAGTTAAATATTAGAATCTTTAATCTAATATATCTATAAATACTTTATATATGCTTGAAATTAAAAGATACTTTGGTTAGTTGGTTAATCCTCTTTTTCACTATATATATCAGTCTTAAATTTATTCTCCAACATAATGAAAAAACATATACTTGTATTGCAGCTTAAGCAAACGTTTCTTTTCTTCTTTTACTTCTTAATGTTGCATATTAGAGATTATACTTGTATGTGTTCAAGCCATATGAAAATAGCCTCTTGCAAAAGTAGTTTCATACAATAGACTTAATACATTAATTCATGATAATGTATGCGTACATCCTATGTACCATCCCAAAACGGACACTTTTTGAACACTACAACCCATAAATGAGCGAAGTGTCCATTTTGGTATGTGTTTTTAGGGAGAGTCCCTTTTAGTTTGTACGTCCAAAAGGTGCCTGATTTGGGGCCGGACTCATGATACCTAAACCCGTAGGGTAAGATTATACTGGATAGATTATTATTTTATACGGTATAAAGCAAATATACACTATTATATCCCCTAGAGACAACTACATATAATTGTGACACAGTGATTTAATCACTAAATTGAAAAATAATAAGACAAATTACGTGCTACAAATATATTAAAAGTACTCTTATATAGTTTAAAAATTATGTATATTATCCGTATATATAATATGAAGTGGAGAATAGATGATGTATATTACCTGTTTAAGCTTATTAGCAGAGTAGAGTTCTCCAGCAAGAACTCTTTCTCCGAACAACATGACTGCCTCCTTAACCGAACGAAATGGAGCACTCGTATCAATTTCCGCCTTTCCCATCATCGTCACTCCTCCTTCTAATTCCTCCATATCGTTTATTATCAGTTTCAACACTATTATCGATCAAATGTAATGTATGTTATGTTTGTAGGAGTGTGTTAGATGAATGAGAGACTATAAAAGAGCTCAAAAAGTGGAAACAAAAGAAGATGAGTAAGTGGAGCTTCGTTTCTTCATGTCCACTTCACTAGAATTATTCTTCCTTGTAAGTTGTACCACTTTCTTTTGGTAAAATATATAATTGATTCAAGTAGAAGCTTAGGCAAATTGGGCTGGACTGTATGGGCTTTTTTTTGGTTTATTTATTGGGCCTACTTTGATTTTGACTTATAAAAAAGACGTTTTTAACCTTGAGCCCAACCCACATGAATAAGTAACCTTTACGGGGTTCAAGTTCACAAAAAGCCGCTCTTTAACCCCACTAATTAAAAAAATAATCGCTATCATAAAGTTTTAATTTTATAGGTGATTATAGTATGGTTTTACTTAGTGAAATTTGAAAGTTTATGACAATTGATATTTTCGGCTATTTTCTAAAGTAGGGCCAAAATTAACAATTCTTGTAAAGTTATTACGTAATTTTCTACGGATTGAACCGACATCCGTTACAATTATGATCATTCAATCGAAAGAATCTCTGCTGTAAAAGCTATTTTTAACACTTTTACAAGACTATCCAGGCAAATAAATAGATTACCAATTTGTACACGTTTATAAGATTTGCCTATTTCAAAAAATGCACAACACACATTTTTTTGATATACAATAATAAGAATTTCAGTTGAATTACGCTTATATATTATACAACATGTGAATTATATATATATACCCTGAAAAATATAAAACATACACACTTATTGCATATTTGATACAAAAATAATACAGTAATTCTAAATAGATATGAAGTCTAAATAGATTTTGTTGCAGAATAATTATTTTTGATTGCATAAATATTTTCAATAATTTTTCACTAAGTATTAAAACTGGCATTTTATCCACAATAGTAAGGACACACTCAGTGGGTCAAGCATACATTTGAAACTCCGACAGAAAACCAAAAGCAAACAAAAAAAAAGTGAAAAATCCAAGTAGCTCTCTTGTCAACATCGTCTTGTCCGCCACAACCTGGAGAAAATTTGGCACTCTTGTCATTTTTTGTATGTTCTACAAATTTTTTATAATATTTGTTAAGTTTAAACTTCTCTATTTTATGATATATAAATATAACTGTAAAAAAATATAGTATTATGATATGTCTAGAATAGTAAGTTGTAAGTGTACTTATATGCCAAGAGTTTTATTTCGTGTGCTTTGGTTTAACATGAGAACATGAATTTTAAGAAAACTGACTCGATAAATGAGCAAACTAATTCATAAATAAAGTATTGGAAAAAATTTATTTGTAACAAATTTTAAATATGCGGAAAATAAATTAATAATGAATAAGATATGAAAAAGTAAGAATATTATAACAAAAATCCTAATTGAAATCGAATATATTTTGTAGAGTTTTTAAGTAGAATTGAACGCACTAAATTCTCAATACACATAATTTTATAAAGATCGAGAAGTAATCAACAACAATAGTATCATACAGAATTGATATCTCCGAGCAGAGAAGGGAAGAAAAGCTACGGTTAAGTTTCAGCACTGTGAAAGTAACGAACAGTTGGGTAGTGAGACAGCCATATACCAGATTCTTATATTCTTTCATTAAATCCCCACACATACATTATTTTATTGAAATCCAACTGTTCAAACTTACTATCAATTACTACTTTTTAGTGTTAAATTAAAAGTAAAGATCTTCACACACTCTGTTTCAACCTCACCATTTATTGTCCCCCTTTTTTTCTCCGTCACACAATTTAATTGAATTGATCTCACTGTTACCCAAAATGTCGGTCACCGTCAGCTCGCCGGCCGTCCGATCGTTCCATGTTTCACGATCACCTCATAAAACGATCTATAGGCCACGTGTCATTATGTGTGCCGTCCGATCTACTGATAGCTTAGGAGTAGCACCAATTTTGACTAAGTTGCAGAAAGACTGTGCTACTCCTCTCCCAGTTTTGCGCCACGTGGCGGATGCAATGGCCGATGATATGCGGGCCGGGCTTGCCGTCGATGGCGGCAGTGATCTGAAGATGATCCTTAGTTATGTCGACACTCTACCAACTGGGTAAGCTACTAATTTATTTTTATTTTTTTTTGGTTCAGTTGCTTATTGAAGGTGATATTTTTGTTGCTATTATAAATTGCCCTTTTCGAAGAATTAACCTGAATAGTAATATATGTATTCTGTGCATACTGGCTAGAAAAAATAAACAAGTTGGTTGGTCAGCTAATTGGGTAAAGATCCCATTATTTTTTTTACCTATTTTAAGCTATAGTTACTTTTTGGTATTGGGTGTACTTCACAAGTTTAATTTGATGGGCATAATCATAAGGAGTTACATGGTTTAAAGACTTGCCATGAAATGTGTTTGTCATCGCGTCTAAAAGCTGAAAGTTGAATAATTGTATTATGTTTGAACACGCGGTCACATATGAGCTTGATTTTTGTTCATGGGACGAACACATTGAAATATTTTTTACTTTTATGGACGGTGATGATATTTGAATCAATAATCTTTGTTTGCTTTGATACCATATTGATGTGTGTGACTATCTGGTCTAAAAGTTTGAGCATGTTTAGTGTCTTGACTATATATTACTCCCTTCGCTTCATTTATATGTCTCTAATATTTCCAAGTATGCTTTCTATTTGTTGTTCACTTGTTTGATTGTTGAGCTTGTTCTTATATTTTAATGATTAATGAAGGAATGAGAAAGGCTTGTTTTATGCATTGGACCTTGGAGGTACAAATTTCCGAGTGCTAAGGGTGCAGCTAGGTGGTAAAGAAGAGCGTGTAGTCGCCACTGAGTTTGAGCAAGTCTCTATACCCCCAGAATTGATGTTTGCTACCTCCGAGGTTGTTTAGTTTTTTCTTGTTATAAAGGGACTTGACCAATACTATCTTTTTTGTTGTTGTTGTATTCATCTTTGCATCGGTTATTGTAGGAGCTGTTCGATTTCATAGCTTCTGCGCTAGGAAAATTTGCACAAAAGGAAGGTGGTAATTTTGAGTTGCAACAGGGACGGACAAGGGAAATAGGATTCACGTTTTCTTTTCCAGTGAAACAGACTTCAATAAGAACTGGAATCCTAATCAAATGGACAAAAGGTTTTGCTGTCTCTGGAACTGTTAGTATTTCTTGACTCTCTTATTTGTGTAAAGGAGTGGCAGATTTAGACATCTTACTAATTTAGCCTATGACTGGTTCTGGAACCATACATCGCTAAGATGGTCAATCGATTCTGCATTATTTTAGTTTCAGTAAAGATGGTCAATTTCCCTCAAATTACTAAAACTTCCAACGAACGTTTTTACCTTTTTTTGAAACAAGCACCGGAATCATCTATTTGGTAAAATCCTGTAATTCCATCCCCAATCGATTGTGCATGTGAGATTTTCTGTTTTCTGGACAACAGAGTGTTTCATATAGTGAGTCCATTTTTTCCAGATACAACAATTTTTTAAGAGTACTGGTTACTGTATGATGACTGATTAGTAAGTTGTGTAATTAGAGGGATCATTTCATCACTTTGATCTTACAAGTCGAATTGGAAAATACTGGATTCCAAACTAGTAGAGAAGAGTTCCTTAACATTGATTTTTAACCGTCTCTCTTGTCTTTATCATTTTCATTTTACCTGTCGATTACTTTTTGATTCCATCATAACATGGAACAGGCGGGAAAAGATGTTGTTGCTTGTTTAAATGAAGCCATGGAGAGGCGGGGAATGGATATGCAAGTGTCTGCCCTGGTAGGTTCTTGCTCAACTTCATGTATATTGTAGAAATGTTGGAGAATAGTCTGGCGCTTCCTTAGTTCAATCGTTTCATGATTTCATTGTCAAGTTAGGTCAATGACACTGTGGGAACACTTGCCGGAGCAAGATACTGGGATGATGATGCCATGGTTGCTGTCATTCTTGGGACTGGAACCAATGCTTGCTATGTAGAACGTGTGGATGCTATTCCTAAGCTGACAAAAAGGATGTCCAAGTCTCCAATAACGGTAAGTAGAGCCCAAATCTCCTTCGTCAAGTTATTTCATGATCAGATTTTAGCAACCATTGAATTCGATACATCTTATATTTTAGATTGTGAATACTGAATGGGGAGCTTTCTCAAATGGCCTTCCTTTAACTGAGTTTGATAGAGAAATGGATGCCGAGAGCATTAATCCTGGTGAGCAGGCAAGTATTATTGACTCAAAATGTGAAAATTTCTTTTCTTCGTATACTTGGTATCACACTGTTTCTTCATGGTCTTTTCTACTGTCTTATTTCTTGATGAAGATTTTTGAAAAGACCATCTCCGGTATGTACCTTGGGGAAATTGTGAGACGGGTGCTGGTCAAAATGGCCAAGGTTGGGGGCTTATTTGGTGGCAGCTATGTTCCGGAAAAGTTAGTCACTCCATTTGTGCTGAGGTAATTACATTTGTTATATCAGAAGTTTATGATGCAAATGTTTTCGGAGAAGTATTAGTTAGTCTCGCACTCTTCTTGTTTTTACTCACTCTGTCTGATCTGCATCATATAGGACACCTGATATATGTGCCATGCAGCAGGATACATCAAGAGATCTTGAAGCTGTTGAGTCTGTCCTCTATGATGTAGCTGGGGTATATTACTTAGCTCTCGTGTTTTAACTTACATTGCAATACTCTTTCTGGTCACGTATCTTCTAGGCCAATTTTTTTCCGATAGAATACTTGTTTTCCAATAATCGATTCATGAAGAACCTTACATTTGAAGATCTATATTCATTCCAAAGACAACATTCAAAAGGATAGTTTACCATCTGTTTCCATAAACATAGAACATTTTCCAGAGTTACGTTTATAGATATGAACACATAATAACAACTACTATTACGCCTCAATCCCAAGCAAGTTGAGGTCAGCTATATGAACTCTCATTGTCCATGTTGTTAAGGTCGTCCATCCTATTCTAAAAAATTTAGTCTCTCTAGCACTAGAAGTTCTTTACAAAATATTTTCATAGAGTATGAAAGAAGTCTATGAACGTTTTGATGTTCACAATTTTGCTTTCGATTATTAATTATCAGGTAAAATCCGATCTAAGTGCAAGGAAAACAGTCGTGGAGATTTGCGATACTATTGCAAAACGAGGGGGTCGTCTGGCTGGTGCAGGAATTGTTGGGATTCTACAGAAAATGGAGGAGGATTCTAAAGGCCTCATCTTTGGTAAAAGAACAGTTGTAGCAATGGATGGAGGCTTATACGAGCACTATCCTCAGTACAGAGGATACCTCCAAGAAGCTGTCACAGAGCTACTAGGCTCGGAAATTTCGAAAAATGTAGTGATAGAACATTCAAAAGATGGTTCTGGAATTGGAGCTGCATTATTAGCTGCTGCAAACTCAAAGTATGAACATGATTATTAAGGAGAATGCTAAATTTCATGTCTTCAAAGGTTTGCTTGAGGAAAAATTACATGAACATTTGTAATTTTCTTGTAATTTAGAATGTTCTAAGAAGGATCGATCATTGGACTTCTCATTCTTTAAGTAGAGGCTCTTGTTTGTGATACTCCCATTAGTGAAGTACGAAGAAGTGAGGATTCATATAGCCAACCCCAATTTGTTTGGGACCGAGGCATAGTTGTTGTTGTATTATGCAGCAGTGACTTATTTATGTGATAAAAGCAGATGTATCAGTAAATATAGAACATCTTGTTTGTTTATAATTATGAAATAAGCACATTTCTTTGGTGTTTTAGAATTTTCTCAGATTTGTTTCTTATATTGGTTATTTTTAACCAAAATTTGATAAATGACAAGATCTTGAAAGTTATAAATTTTATGACATTCACAGATCAAAAGTCTAGACATGATTCACTGCCATATATGACTGCATAGTGACATCTATGAGACAAACTCAGAATGCAATGGATGACTTTAATTCAGTATTGAATGAAGAACATAAACAAACTGGCTCACCTGTACTAGTGCAGATTGAATGAATTTGATGTCCACTTCTCAGGTGCTAATTGTGGAACCACAGGTCTCGAGTTGATTTCGTAGATGGTGATTCAACTAATAGTTATTATCTCAGATGACTTTCTGTAGCTACAATCAACTGTTGGGTAGGACTTAAGTACAGAAATTACAGTCACACAGATAAAGAGATAAGTGAAAGAGTCAATTACTTAAAGGACAATAGAAAAGTTATTAGATGTAGATACTTGGTCCAGAAATTTTGTAACGAGATAATTTTCTTTGTTTGAGGCTTTAGAAGAGAGGGTACACTACCTGGAAGATGACTTAGCTTCCTAAAGTACTCTCTAGGTGTAATTATTTGGACATTAATAGTAATTCGAGAATGGTGGGACTAAACAAAAAAAGATTAAACTACAAAGGAAAAAAAAACAAATATACTCCCGAACTATCGTTAATGGTATGTAGATACTATCCGTCATACTTTTGGGACATTAGTGCCCCTGCCGTAAAAAAACTAGAGCATATATACCCTTTATACTAACGGACATATACGTGTCATAATCTTATCTACCGACCCAACATTTATTAAATATCGGATCGACGGATAAGATTGCGTCATGTGTCCTTATTTAGTCTTCTGTTAGAGTAAAGGGTATATATGCTCTAGTTTTTGAATGCAAGGGCACCAATGTCCCAAAAAAATTAATGGAGGATATCTACATACCATTTAAGATAGTTCGGAGGTATATTTATCCTTTTTCCCAACTATAAATATCAGAAAGTCTCATCAAATCCTAGAAACTACAACACTAATATTATATGAAATAACAAAAATTGCAAAAATCATACCTCCTATTTCCAAATATGAGCTCCCGCTAAACCTCCCCACCCCATAATTCTCATCAAATCTAACAAATAAAATTTGTGAAATATTTAATGGAGATCAGAAGTGTTCACTTTTGACAGACATACAAAACCAAACTAATAAAAACATAGGAAAAAGGGTCAAAAATATTTCCAACTTTCATTTATTAGTTAATCTTATCTTGCCATTATTCAATACACTTACCGTTAATATTGAGTTATTCAACCCTTTTCCCAAAAACATATTGTAGGAACAATTTTAAACCATAACCCCAAACATAAGGGACTGTTTTGTCATTTCCTCAAAACAAGGTGAAAATTCTTCTCTGGCACCTCAGTTCTGACCCCTTGGGGCTTTTGCTAGTTTTTACAAATTAAAGAATCAAAGAGATTTTTTCAATTGTTTCTCCAGCTATTTTGCCTGCAGATCTTCTGAACAAAATGGTAACTTTTTCCTCTTCCCTTTGATCTCACTGAAAATTATTTGGTAGCAGAAATTACAATCTTTTTTGTTTTCAATTTGCTGTTTTCATTTCTCTTCTAGTGTATTGATATTTGATCGTTTGTTTTCAACTGGGTCATTTCGAAAATGGGTAGATCCGTTTTATATTGCTTCAGAACAGGCAAGGAAAGACTCGTTTGGCTAAGTATTATATACCTCTTGAGGAATCCGAGAAGCACAAGGTGGAATATGAGGTATTTTAGTTTTTTTTGCTTTTTTCTTACTTTGGTTATGTGAATTTGGTGATTTTTGATTATATGGTCAATTTGGATCATGTAGGTTCATCGGTTGGTGGTGAATAGAGATCCCAAATTCACCAACTTTGTTGAGGTAATGAAGTCTGAATTTTTTAATTTCAGTTGATGGAAGCTAGCATTTTTCTGATTAAGCCCTTTTATATCTGTGGAATTGAGTTTAACTTGATCAGCTTGAAATGCAAAAGGCGAAAATGTGATTATCTGTTTTGTTTTCGATCTATAGAACACCATACTAAGCGAATTTGCTGCAATTGTGCTAAGGCAAAGGGGAGACTCTTTCGCTAGTCTTTAATTTTCTAAAAGTATTAATGTTTAACTATCTTATCGTATTTATCTTCCATTGCATCATAAATACTTGTTATCAAAGGAATAACTTTGTGAAATGATTGAAGGATAGGGAGTGGTGGGGGATTCAAGAACAGTTTATTGTTCAAAATTTAACTTCTGTGTAGAGTAACCTATGTTATGGCTGAGTATGAAATTCTTATTGAGGCATTTCTCCATACCTACATGTTGTTTCCTAATTCAATCTCTTGGCTTTAGAAAACTTAGAGGTTGGAAGAGAGTGGGAGAGTGGAGGGAGGGAAGGATCAAGAAAGAAGAGCCTTTTTCCCTTTTGCTTGTGCATGATAAAAGGATTTGTTTAGAATCATATACCGACCACTTTTTATGCATTCATTCTGGCTTCAATATTGGTGTTATATTCCTGGATCTGATTTCTTTAAGAATCGAAAAATGTCAACCTGCAAAAGGAAACAAAAGATGCATTGTGTTTTAACTTTGTTGGGCAATCACTTCTCATCAGATGCTCCGTGAAGCATAACCAACTATTTAAAAATCCTTAATGACATAAAGTACAAAGCAAGATATCGGAAAGAAGCTCTTTTGTTCCTTAAGTAAGTGATTTATCCTTGGAACTGTAAGGGGGAGGTAAAGCAAAGGAAGGGAGAGAAAACAAGTTTGAGGTTTGAACTTGTGTATATTATATTTTGTAAAATAAGATAGAAAACAACTGAATGTGAATACTAAAAGGGAAATCAATACCTTTTCTGCTGAAACCTCAGCAGAATTGATGAAAGAAGTGAATCTAGCGATTTTTTTTTTTTTTGATGATGGAGCTGCGTAACTTACTTCAATAATAGGTTGCATGAGATTTACATATCTGGCTGATTCACTATTAGTTTTGAGTCTCCACTTCTTTTCAGTTTTTGTGTAGATATGTTCCTTGATAAGTCACTAATAACTAACACCTGCTTGTTATATCCTCTTTGCAGTTCCGTACCCACAAGGTAATATACAGAAGATATGCAGGATTATTTTTCTCACTTTGTGTTGATATCACAGACAATGAATTGGCTTATTTAGAGTCCATCCACTTGTTTGTGGAGATTTTGGATCACTTCTTCAGCAATGTCTGTGAGCTGGATTTGGTTTTCAATTTCCACAAGGTTAGACATTTCTCATCAAACGTTGCTACTTACAGAAGCAGCAAAGTTTATAACATCTTTCTTTCCTGTGATCCCTGTTGTGACACAATGGTCCTTTCATTGGTTGTAAATCAATCAATATTCTCGTTGAATTTTCTAAGATGCCTGTTAAATGCTGCTGTATTTTTCTTTTTATATTTTTGTGCCGGCTCTCCAACTTGGTGCTTGTCGTCAAATCCTTAGCTGAACCTTATAAGTTACATACCTACTTAGTCCTGCAGCTTGGGTTAAACTCAATTACTTTATATGCCCCTTGGTTCTCCATGAGGCAGCCTTCCCTGTTTGAACATGGTTTTAGGCAGAGATGGAAGGTTATCAAATGAAGTAGAAGAATCAAATTTAATTTCTGTGAAGAAATGGTTTACTGCAGGATTTACCATGGTTTCAAAGTTAAGATTCTTAAAAGGAAGAAACTGGTGGGTACCATAACAAGTGGTGGTATCCAAGACTTGTTCATTGTCCCACTTGGCTATTAATATAGTAGGATTTCATCTTCCCATCCAACACTTACATCTGTAAATATTATTAGCATCCCGTCCTGCATGAAAACTCAAAGTACTCCCTCCTCATCGCTTGTGATATTTTACTATTAGAATTTAGTAGTTGATATTTCCTCTCTGTAAATCATAGATCTTCTGATTTTCACAAAACTTAGCTCTAGGGAATTTTGTAATAAGCGAGAACTTACGTTTCTCTGGCTGGTGGTAGATCATTCTTTCAACAAAGAATCAGATGGCCAGGAAAAAGTAGTAATGACGTTTTCATGCCTCATCATGTGCACTAACTAAAAATACTGGTTTGCTAGAAATGAAGAAATATGTTTTTCATTAGTAGAGTCAATGGCACCGTTCTTAACTTGTTGTATCATTTATGCTCAATTTCTTCCCTCTGCAGGTATATCTGATATTAGATGAGTTTATTCTTGCTGGGGAGCTCCAAGAAACAAGTAAGAGGGTAAGAAATCTGCTACCCTAATCACCTCTTACCCCCTCCCTCCCTCCCTCCCCCAGACGTAGGGCCTGTAGCTGGCTAATTTTTTGATCTTTTGATGCTCGCTAGGGCCTGTAGCTGGCCAATTTTTTGATCTTTTGATCCTCGCTAGGGCCTGTAGCTGGCCAATTTTTTGGTATTTTGATGCCCGCTCATGCACGCACACGCACACATATGTATGTGTATATACATTTGTGTATTGACTGACATGTACATGCTAATTTCATGGTGTTAATTTTAAAAAGCTATTTAGCAGTGGTCCAAACTATTTCTGCTGAAGCAGGGTAACTAGATATTAGGTGTTGTTTGTCCCTCAACCATGAGAAGACAGATGTTCTGGTTTTGTATATATATTCCTTTGCTCTCATTCCTCACGCCCTGCCCAATGGAAAAAAGAAGTTGATGCATACTTGATTCTGCCTAAACAACATTTTTTTACACGCCAGGCAATCATCGAGAGAATGGGAGAGTTGGAGAAGCAGGAGTGAAGATTTCCGTGCTTTGCTCAAGAGTCAAAACGAACACTTGCCTTTTCCTTCATCATCTGCACTTCTCTTCCGGCTGGCTGTATTTACTGCATTAGACATTCTGTATCCTGTTGATACTTTCATGTTGATGTGGCCTCATTTAATACAAGATTTGTTCATTCATACATTTAAAGGTAGTTTGCAAGTTTAAATATGAATATCTTTATCTTTTGTCAACTCCAGAGGCTATATTGTTGTTGAAAGTGGGAAAAAGGGTTATTACAATACGAAATTTCTTTATTTTTACTGGCCATCATACTTTGGGACAACTTATATTTGCCCTTCATTCAGAGGAACCTCCAACTCGAAGTATAATAGAAAGTAATTTTATAGTCAAAATTAGACTTTTTTTTTTTTTTTGAGAATTGTAACACGTGAAGCCCACTCAATTCATGTTATACCTCCATTAAAGTAAGAAGAAGTATTACGAAACAGTTTGCCAAACTGGGGTAACTGCCCCCAAGTAACAGATAGGAGAAACAAAATTCAGATAGTTTGAGTAAAAATAGAGAAAATAAGTTTGACAAAATAACATTCCAATTGATTATATTCTTTCTCCCTACCTTCGAACATGTTCAACCTCATCTGTGTAGCCCCCATCACATTGTATTTATCTATTTTATATACAGAACAATTTTAAAATAATATTTTTTACTTATCTATCAAACACAAGAAAATAAGTTTAAAAAAAACACACTTTCCTGAAAATTGCTGAAAGAAATTTAAAGCAGCAGCAAATTTTTTCATTGCCATTCTTCTTGTGTATACTACTACATGTCTTCCAAGTCAATAACCTTCTCAGACAGATAGACTTTCTTTCCACGGAATCCATCTAGGTGAAAACCAACAACCATTTCTGAAGTTGTTTCTCTATAATTAATTGAAACTGAAACAGAATAAATAAGCCAAAAACATCTAATGAGGGACACGTAATTTACTATATCCTCCCTTCTTTTGTGTTCCTTATATTCATGAACAGAATGAACACCTACTCTCATGCATAAGCAAAGAAAAGAATAAATCAATTATGATTTGCAGGAGGTCCGGTCTGATCTTTGGAGATGGCGACATGGTGCCATGACTCTCAGTATTAACGACGATCATTGCAAAGAAGCTGCAATGAAGGGACACTATTGGGGTAGAGTCCATGTCCGCTTCCTTCCAAGCCAGAAGGTAAACTGTAATATTGTCCTCTGATCCTTGAAGTAGCTCGTGAAGTAGAAATGGACATTAGCTCCTGCTCGTTCAACAAGGGTGGAACATACTTGGAAGAAAGTGCTTCCATGGAGGAAGAAGAAGCTGCCAATTGAGCTTGAGAAGGCCCAAAGATAGGCATTGGTCGCCCTGCATTTTGCCAGTCTCGCATTTGTGAGGTTGAGACTCCACCAAACTTGTACTGAGCAGCAAAATGGGCATTTTGTAGTTCATTCTGCTGCGACATTTGTCTTGGTAAGGCCATAGTAGCTTCTCTTGACGGACAAAATGACGCACCTCCAAGATATAGAGGCAGCAGAACCTGCAACTAGCCACAAAAGAACTGCCTTAATCTTCTAAACAATGTATTTATTAGTAGTCCCACCACGAACTTATTCCTGAATCATTTTATGAATGTACGGCCCAGTAAAATGCAATAGATGACCAAATTTTACTATAAACACTTCTCGAACATTCCAAAAAAGGAGAAGGGGGATCAGAATGAGCTATGGTTCTGGGAGATCTATGTTGGAAGCAGAATAGTGTTATCTAACACATGCTTTGCATATAAATACATAGATATGTATGTGTGGGCAGGTGTCTTTAAATAGGCTCATGTATTATAGTCCCTAATAACTGCAGCAGGAACCATGACTGGCATTATGTTGTTTTTGTTTTACTTGTTCCATCCCCAAAGGTCAAGATTTCAGCATGTACCTACGCTGTTCTCATCCTGATACTACACATAAGAGGGGTAAAATAATCTATTTACTCGTGTTCTGTAAAAAACAGTATTTCGGAAGTTGAATTCAATTTAAAGAATATTCAGTATCTTAACAATTATTAAGTCACGAAACTGAGAATCTGACAAACTAGTTATGTTTCAAATGCAGCAAAGTAATTTTAATTAGAAGTCACCTGCTGAGTTGCTGCTGTTGCAGGATTGTAACGATAAGGTGCAGATGAATAACCATTCTGGGGAAGCAAGAAATGCAGGGCGGGATGTTTCTGTGAGGTTACAGGCATTTCAAGGTTATGACCAGCAATAGTAGCACCATTAGTGCCTTTGATCACATAACTTCCAGCTGCCAATGAAAGGAAATCTGCGTTCTGCGAAAGAAAGTGGATTATTATCGTGTATGGATGAAGAATATCACACATTACTGAAGATAACTAACCTGCTTTGCTAAAGAATTGAACCCAGATGTAGTAGAAGCCTGTTGCTGATCTTGGAGGAGTCTTTGGTGCAAAAGGATTGCATTTCTAACTTCAGTTGGATTCTTCTCAGCAGTAGAGGCAACATTCCCAGTAGAAACAATTCCATGCATATCATTCACCTTTACAGTTGGGCTGTTCTGAATTATAGGAGGCTCTTGCTTCACTCCATCAGGTGATGAAGACTGAGAAGGATGCGAGGAGACTGTGTCACCTCTCATCGAAGTCTGTATGCCTTTAGTCAGCCGACTTATATAAACATGAGCAGCACACCTCTTAAATGACTTCCTCAAATCAAGTGGAACTTGAGAATCCTGCATAATCAAATCAAATGAGTGTTCCACATAATTGTTCAGAATGGAACAAAGTACATGAGAGTAACTGAAAGCCATATTGAAGTGCTAAAACACCTTCATGGTTGGGAGACAAGATTTTGCAGTTTGAGCTTGAAGATCAGAGCCAGGGCTTCCAATCCAGACAGGAAATTTGCCAATTGGAAACCTATCATTACTCAGTGCATGAGAAACCAAACAATATTTGTAGGCAAGAAAGAGTGCAGTAAGAAATGGGAACTTACTGTGGTGAAGAATCAAGTATGTCGGAACAAGATGACCCTGCTGCAGACAAGCCTGGCCACAACAATGAACCTGATCACCAAAACAACATTTCTGTTAATGTAGATATAAAATACACATGATTTGGATGACACCGTCTCTGATATATTACAACCAGTCATCAGAAAATTTGAAACTTGCAGGCTATAGTTATACCATTATTCCTCTTCTCCTTGTGTGTGTTTTGTTGGTTGGCTTGATAAGCAACAACCTGAATACAGAACAGTAAGATCAGCATTTATGTCACGTATTAACCAAAGAGTATAGATGTCCAAATGAAACATACTTGTTGCGATGAAATTTCGAGCTGCTCTGTGTTGATGAATGTATCACATGGGGAAGCATCATGAAATGATTTTGATTTGGCAGCTTCTCCAGCAGAAACAGCCATGTCTGGAAACTGCTTCAAAGCTTCAGCACTGAATTGGGAGCTGTTTGTCCTTATGTCCTGCTCTGTTGTTACAACTACACCATTTATGAAATACATTAGTTCGGCAAATGACCAATTATGGAAGAGACCAACATAGAAACAAAGAACTAACAAGCAGACCTCCACTTGCAATTACAGAAGCCTCAGGTTCCGGTAAGTCCAAAGATTTCACTTCCGGAAGTTGACTATTTATTTTGCTTTCGCTCAAGGTGTCAACGTCTGGGATCATACCAGCCAAAGCATACAAAGTTTCAGCCACTTCCTCTTCATCTTTGGTGATTGGACCATCAAGCTCCTCCTTTATACACCGACTTGAACCACAATGAGTCTGCATTTAAATCTCATTATCATAGACGAAAATTTTCCATTGAACTGCATACCATTCAATTGTTTGATAGAGGAACCACAGAGGCAAAAAGAACTAGTAAAAGGAAAAAGCTGCAAAATTTACAAGTCACTAACCAAATTAAGCTTAGACTTGTTGCCATATTTCCTTAGTGTTTCAGCTCCATCTGACATGCGATTCGCCTTTTTGGAAATCGGCAAAGGTGGAGAGATGAGCTTGTTAATTCTCTTCTTGATAACTACAAAGGGAAAAGAATCCAAGTAAACAACTTATGATCAATTGGAAGTCCAAAGTTTAACTCAAACAAGAACCATTTCACCTAATAAGAGAGTAAAATCAGAAACTTGGCCAGTACAATCACCCAAATTGCAGATTAAGTACTTTTTAATGATTCCAAAGGTATAAAAAGCGAAAGAAGACGAAGAAACATACAGAATCTTCTCATGCTTAAAAAGAAAGAAAAGGTGAAAAGGAATTTACTATAATTTACAAAATAAAGCAACAAGTGACCCACTTCCAAGCACTGGGCTCCAACTAAAACATAACTACTCCAAATAAGATAACAAACATAAGCAAGTCAGTAATTTCCAAATTCAATTCACCATAAAATACAAACCTGAACGAACTTTCCGAGGAACAGAAGCATGATCTACTCCATTACACTCATCAAAAAACTGCAAATCCAAAAGGGGCTAATAAATAAACAGACCAATTCCTATTTACGATGTTTTCCAGTATACCTAATTGAGCTAAAATATCAAACCTTTTTGGGAAACTTAAATCGCTTCCGAACAGAAACATTGGGATGAATCTCATCGTTATCATCAGACCTTGAACAACCCATTTCAATGTTGTTCATACTGGATTAGACTTCACCAGCACCACTAAATTTCCCCTCTTCCACTTTCTTCGCAATTATTTCATTTCCTCCCTTACAATCTAAGCATCCAAAGCAAAACCCAGAAATATTATCAGAGAATTTTGTGTGAAAAACAGAAATCACAAGTAAAATCAAAACAAAAAGAAGGATAAAGAACTGTAACAGATAACCAAAAAAGAAAAAAAGAGAGGAGAAAAGGAGGAATACAAGACGACACGCGTTTCTCAGCCTCGCAAACACCAAAATCCACATACAGATGAATAAGAATAAGAATATATTTGCAGAAACAGACAATAGACGCATTGATGGGTTTTGTTGTTTAGTAACCGTTTGATTTTATACGAAGACCAAACAATAAAATTCACTTTCACACTTAAGCATTACCGATTCTTGTCCATTTCTGGAAAAACTGCAACATAATTGAATTGAAAACATTTTTTTTTTCCAGACCCAGCTACAATCAATTCTCTAATCATCAAACAATTTATACAAACAAAAACCTCCAAAATTTCAGAACTTTTGGTAGTGAATCTAAAAAAGCCCGAAACAGAAACATTAAAGGCTTTTGGGTTTTACAGTACTGACATTAAAAAAACTCTGAGAATGGTTAAAAAAGGAAGAAGAAGAAGAAAAGTGAATATGGTCCTTTATGTACAACGAATCGGGTTCTTCTTCACATAATAAAGCCGCTCTCTCACTGTGAGTCTGTCACACTCGTACTCATCAACCCCGAAAAAGAAAAAAAGAGAGAGAAAGAGAAAGACAACACACACGCAAAGTACTAAAAAAAACAATCAACCCCATGTAGAGAAATTACAGTACCATCTCTATTCATCAACAAAACCCCATTAAAACAGATTAACAAATCAGATTACACGGATCAAATGCGCAGTTTCTTCAGAAAAAAACAGAATCTCATCACTCTTTCAGATCGAAAAAGCAAAAATTCAAAATGCAGAAAACAAAAAACTCACTCATTTCCATGAAAAACAACAGAGAATCATGAAAAAAATAATCCAGCTTACAATCTGTTGCAACAACTCATAACTGAACAAGAACAAACAAACCAACAAACAAAAAAAAGAATAAATTTTGATTTACCCAAATAGTAACGATTTAGATATCTGAGAATATTTCTGCTTAACAAACGGAAAAACCGAAGCTTTCGGTTTTTGATTACCCGATTCTCTGAAGATTTCACACAAAAACGATCAGTTACATACTCTGTTTTCTCTCTTTCTTTTGTGTTATAAAAGGAATATTTTTAATTATTACGTCGTCGCAATATCTACGGACCATACAAACGGGATTTTCGCAGCCGTTGGATCAAAAGTTCCCTAGTCCCACGTGTCATCTACGTGGCAAATATATTTCTTACCCAAAATGCCAGCGTGTACATGCTCGAATTAATCGGCGATTCACTATGTAGTACTACGGCGATAAATACTTTTAGGTTGGGCCCCACGTAGGGTAATGATTTTGATTCTCTGGCGCTGGGTGAAAAGGGAGTGCTTCATGAATGATGCGTGAAGTTGAGAGCAATTCGGTTGAAAGGGACTGTGAAAATGACTATTCTAACCTTCGTTCACGATATCAAATGACGAAGATAACCTTCCATTTGAATTTAGAATGTATTCAACAATATTCAATATAAAGAAAGATTTGATTAAGTTATCTTATCTCTTTGTGAATGTGTAATGAATGACTTAGATGCTTTTGAAGCTATTAAATAATAGTAACTTCTTCGTGAGCTTTCTTGAAATTATGGATCTTGTTGTAAATTTTTAAGTTTTGAATTGAGAATTTTTAATGTGATCTTTAAACTTAAAATTAATTGATTGACGTGATTGTAATGTAAAGTTTTATTATGAAATTTAGAGCTTTAAGTGAGTTGGGTTTAGTATGTGGACAATACAAATGAACTAAAAGCTTAGTTATATAGTCAAAATATGCACCAACCTAGATCTTAGATATTGATCGATTAAAATAACAATGAAGTAAAATTGAATAGCATATCAAATAATCTTAGTTTTTTTTTATAAGAAAAAATCATAAATAATGTCTCGGATTAATATATGTTTTTTCACTCAAGTGGGAACAATAGTTAGAGTCTTTTTTGCTATTAACTAGGGTTATGCTGGAGTGATAAGTATCCCTTTATTCTTAACTGGAGGTCCAGATTTGAGTTTCCCTAGATACGAAGTCGCCTTTTTTAGGAAACGTTTTATTCTTCGATGTATGACTTTGGGGGGGGGCTCCGGAGGAGAAACTCTTTGCATTTTATGCTCCTTCACTTTTTTTCTAAAAAAGAAAAAATAACTTTTAACAACATGAGTTTTGGGTTAGGATAACTGGTCTGGATATACGTATAGGCCCAATACTTCAGCCCAAAACTTAGCCCTTTGACTCTTTACCCGTGAATGTAGACGTATTGTTTAGGCCTTTAGGATCCAAATTAAGTCCCGTTCATTGACAGTCTCTGCCGTGCCTGCTCTGTCGCCGGTTGTCGCTGCTCGCACGTCTTCCTCTTTTTCAGGTGAGTTCCATCTTTGTGTCTTATTTTTTTCCAAAAGGAACAATTGAAGATGAAGAAAAAATTTCAACTTGAAAAGAACACACCATAATTGAATCCATACTAGTTCGAGGCGTGATTTATGCTAGTTGAAGACGTGATTTCGAATATCATTCTCATTTCTCTGTATTTGAAGTTTTTGAACTCAATTTTCTTAGGTTAAATTGATATTTATCCATCATTGATTTTTGAATGAACAATTGCATAAAAATCAGATGTTGATGGTTACTTGTTAGGTTAAATAGATTTCTGCTGCTGATTGTTTTCGTGGATCTTTAAGTATTATATAGCTGTACTTTGAGATAGAAGGGAGGTGTTTGAGCTACTAAAAGTTCATTCCGCTTGTAAGTTTTTGATTTGCTTCACTTGGAACTAAATTCGAAGCTAGCCTAACTTATTTTTCTGTTTACTTGTCCCTGGGCACGTAAGTAGAAAGTTTGAGTATCTTCTCTTTACAAGAAAATAATGATAATTGCACATGTGACATGAGTTATGTGGCACCTTAGACTACAATTTGTATTTTATGCATGACAGATACTATTGTAGGGCATATAATTTAGTTAGATTCGTTTTTGGTTCTGTTTTGGACTGTTTTTTCTTTGAGCCGAGGGTCTACCGGAAACGACCTCTCTACCTCTGAGGTAGGGGTAAGGTTTGCGTGCTCTCTACCTCTGGGTATTTTGTTGTTGTAGATTTGTTTCTAGTGCATATGGTATTACAACAACATATTGAGTGTGTTCCCATAGTGGGGTCTGGGGAGGGCACAAACCTTCCTCTCCCACATGAAGTGCTACAACACTCTGCTACTTACTAGCCTTCTACCCTAGTCCTCGACCTTGAAACCTTCCTATATAGGTCATATCCCTAGTAAGTTGAAGTTGTGCCATGTATGGCCTAAATTCTAATCACCTCCCCCTAGTTCTTTTTTTACCCATCCCTACCTTTCTAACTCCTGTGACCACCAATACTGCAATTGCACAGTTACCATTTAATCATTGAACAGTGAAATAGCCTTTCCATGAGAAATCTTCGAAACAAAAAACGTGAACTGCTTAAAATCATGGTGAATTCCGATGCACCAAAAGACAAGTATCATGACAAAACTGAGCAGTCACTTAACACTAATGACAGTTACACATGTGACATGGGTATCTTCTGTGGTACTTGAATGAACATTCTTCTAGTTTAAGTAGACATTTAGTCTAAGTTGCTCGGATTCTTCACTCCGTATCGACACGACATGGTGGGATCTGTGTCCGATTTGGTCAACCAATTTTGGGTACTTTGACCAAAATCTATGGGGAATGTCTTGACAGTTTTAATGATTTCTGTAATCAATACATAAGGTAAAATGGAATACCTTTTATATAGAAATTTATGTCTTTCCTTTTCCTTCCATCTCCTTCCAAGATTCTCCTCAAGTTCTCCACATAATATAGGTTTTATAACTCTATTTTTAGATATTTTAATTATTTTTAGGCGAATCCCTGCACCCGTATCCATTCATAGATCCATATCCCTGAATCTGAAAAATTAGATCACAAAGGATCCAATCTCTGGATCCACACCCGCATTGGACACCCGCACCCGAGTCCGAGCAACTTAGCATTTAGTTCTCCTTTCTTCAGATTGTATATTATAAACTTGTTTTGATACTTTGACCCCTCTGACTTTTGAAATTGTTGCTTTTTATGTACTGCAGCTGATATAAGCCCAAAATTGTTGCTTATGTTTGGACCAAACTACAAATTGGTTTAAGGTGCTCCCGTCGACAATACACTATTGCAGAGCGAGCGCAGAGGTCTGATATTTCTTGTCCAAGTGTTAACTCAACGCCGAGAGAAGTCACCTTTTTTGGTTTAAAAAACCTCGAAACTGCCCTTTGGCTCATCTTTATGTAACTATTATTGGGACAGAGAAGATAAGAACATTGTTTTTGTGAAATCAGATGTCGACAGCGACATACCCACCACCTCCTCCGTTTTACAGGCTGTACAAGGACTATCTTCAAGACCCCAAGTCTGCTCCGGAACCTCCCCCTCCAATTGAGGGCACCTATGTCCTCTTTGGTAGCAACTACACTGTAAAGTCTCTCATCCGTTCCTCTACACCCTTTTGAAATCCACTCCCAAATGGGAAGGGGTGAAAAAGTCATGATACCCAATTGCTTACTTGTGCTTAATGTCGATGTATGAATGTATAAGGTGTATTTGAGGCCCATTCAAGTTTCTGGGTACCTCTTTACCTCGAAAGATTTGGTTTTTACTTTAAAGATTGAATCATATTCTCAATTTCATCACTTTGATATACTTTATATTGCTTATGGGGTAAAGGTATGGAGTTGATTCAATGTGCACTTAAAAAAAATACAAAAGAGTAGAGGGGGAAATGTCTGATGCTAAGATGAGGTTCAGTGAGATATTCAATTGGCAATGATTTAGATTTTATCTATTCTGAAATATGAATGAGGTTTCCGTTAACGTTCTCACCTTTATCTTATGTTATCTTGAACTGCAATGCATCAAGAGTATTTTTTCTAGTCACTCCTCTGTGTGCTTGTCTTTCGTGAATTTTGTTTGTCAGTTGTATTGCTGAAATTAAGCTGTTCGTTGTGGTTTGTATTAGATGACTATGTACAAGTTTGCTCATTATTGTTTTTGCCATTGCGGTATGCGCAGACTGATGATGTACTCCCAAACTTGGAAGAGCAGGGCGTGCGTCAATTATACCCAAAAGGGCCTAATGTTGGTAATGTTCACAGCTATTCTCAAAAAGCCGTATTTGTTCCTACTGTGATATGTAACATGCATTTCTTTTTTGAACATTTATGGTTAAAAGAATATAAGAATGTGGATACACACACAACACATTTGTACCTTATATATCATCCTGCATTTTCGATATGAATCTGCATGGAACATGACACTCGTTTTTGTTTCCTTATCGTAAGTTCCAAGTAAATATCCTCTACAAGGTCAATCTATATGTCTAATCATTTCTGTTCTCTTTCCCCAAGCCAGTGACCAGAATAAAGAATAGGGAATTAGTTATAAAGTTTGAGCCCTTTAGGTTATCCAAAGTCTTAGACAAAAGATAGCAATCAAGTATCCTACGATTGCAAAAGTTAATTGCAGAATCAATTCCATAGTTGAAAGGATGTACCATGATGTCCCCTTTATTGGATGCTGCTGCATATGGGATGCTTCCAGAGATAAATTTAGGTGCTATTTTGTTGCTTCTCAGAAAAAAATATTCATTCTTATTCTGCTGATTCATGTTACAGATTTCAAGAAAGAACTAAGAGCACTTAACAGAGAATTGCAGCTACATATATTGGAGCTTGCTGATGTTCTTGTAGAGCGCCCTTCACAATATGCCAGGAGAGTGGAAGAGATATCTCTGATATTCAAGAACTTGCACCACCTTCTCAATTCTCTGCGTCCTCACCAGGTGATCAATTGGTGAATCTGAATGTCCAAACATTTCTGGGTCTTAGCATGGCTATAGAAGATAGATGATCTCAATTATCATTTACCTTTGTTTCTTTCTTTTACAGGCTCGAGCCACACTTATCCATATTCTAGAACTTCAGATACAACGACGTAAACAAGCAATAGAGGATATCAAGCGGTATGATGTGGTTTGCATGTTCTTTTTATCATATATATATTTAGCTTCTTCCTTCATTAGATTTAGATGAAAACTCGTGAGTTTTTTAAATGAGTTCATAGTGTGCCGCAACAAACAGTTGCAAGTGAAAGAATTCAGTTTCCCTTTAAGCTGCTTCAGTCACTTTCAATTATACAGATTATATATGTAATTACTATATCAAACTACCTCTCAAAATGAAAAGAGATGTATTTACCGTTACTCTAATAATGTGCATAAATTCACAAGTTGTTGGAGTTGAGGCAGACTGTTTAATTCTTTCTCTATCTTTTTATCGTGGTTACTATGATTTAAGTCATGATGTTGGTTTCTAATTGCTTGTATAGGAGAAGGGAAGAAGCTCAGAAGCTTCTAAAGGAGGCACTTGGTACCCTTGAGGGACAGTAGCATGCTGTTTAAACTTTACACACAGCTGGCAAGAGTAAACTTGACGAGTTTCTTGACAATTAGAGTGTCCAGAATGCTTTGAAATTACAGTATAGAAATCATTCAGTCCTAATGTGAAATTTTCTTTATACAGTGACAATGCTTTTATGTGGCCAGTGATATGTCACAATCCAGTGCCAAAAATTTGACGCTTCAGTCATTGAGGCAATACACATGTGTTTATGTATGGTTCGATTAAGGGTGTGTAAAAAGATTTAGGTGATCCATCAAACATGTAACTATTCTGATATTATTTTTATTTCTTAAAAAGTAGTCTCATCACTACTATTGAACATGTGATCTTCCTCATCTTTTGTTGCTGGGCGGTGTGAATAGCTCTTCTAACATCGACATGAATCAACCTTGGAATTTGAATAGGCGTCATCGCAGATGTTGTTGAGCAAATATTTGAAAGGATTGTGGCGCAAGGTCGACCATTTGAAAAAGAAAAGTGTACATAGACTACAGTAGAAAGCAGTGTTGATCAGCAGACGCACAGTATCCTAAACAACAACAATTACTCAGTCCCTCAGTCCTAAGGTTGAGGGAAGGCTTACAATTTTTTATTCCTGTGACATAACCCAGTAGATCAGCTAACATCACACATCTATTGGCATTCCACATACACCCTTAGACGAAAACCAGATTAACTGGAAAAAAACGAGGGAAGTGTACAATCTCGTAGCCAATTCATAGAAAATTCAACATCTTTGCGACAAACTAAAAGAGAATGTTTACGAATTGCGAAAAAGAAAAAGAAAAAAAAGCATGCCATTCGAAAGAAAAATTGTGTACAAGGATATTAACAAGTCCAAGAAGCAGATCTTTTCATGGTAGGCTTCATCTGCTTATCTTCTTCAAGTGATATCATACCCAAATGAGATGGATCTTCCAGCATCATTCTAGCTACCAAGTAACCAGCAATGGACCATGTCTGGAACTTACGGGCCTGCTTTCCGATAAATCGACCAAGCTTTCCGTCGTAATACTCTGGCCAGCTATCTTTTAGTAAACGCGATTCAGCTAGTTCAATGGCCCGTCGTGCTATTTGGGGTCGACCAGTCTTGATAGCTGCTGCAGTAAGGAGCCACAGAAGAACTAGACACAAAACCACGCAAAGCAGTATTAGCATAAACTCGTTAAGCTACCAAAAAGTAGACAGATATATTGGTCATCGTGATGTGAGATGAAATAGGAAACTATTGTTAAATAGATTCAAGTACTTTTGGTGTTATATAAGTAGGAAGAAAGTATAACCTGGCCAAGTTCCACCATTGTGGTAACTCCAACTAGTGTTTTTAGGATCGCATCCTGTTACAATTCTCCATTCATGACCTTCCATAGCGGGATAACATATTTTCAGCGGCATTTCTCCAACTAGCTCTTGCCATCTTGATTCAACAAGATCCATTATGGCGGAAGCTTGCTCAGGTGTAGCCAAAGATGACAAGATTGAAATACAGTTACCCAAACAAAACCAACGGAAGTCCATGTGAGCAGGACTAACATTTCCGATGAAGTAACCACCACGAGTTGGCATGAAATCAAAAACCCACTCCGGAAGGGAATCTGGCATAACATTAAACTTGTTTACTGCAGTGTGAGAGTACTCTTCCGTTTTGTAGCGGTATATATCATTCAGTTGTTTTATGTCGAGCCAATAGTAACTTCTCATGTGAAAGCTCAAAGCATGAAGGCGTTTAATTATTGCATCACAACACTCTCTGTTTTCTTCATCGTGTTTAAGGAGAAACAAGGCACATCTTAGGGCCATAAAGAAAAGTGCTTGTATTTCAATGGGATAACCATAGACACCCTGGGAACAATATGAAACAAAGTGCTTATAACATGTGAGTAGTGGATAGTTTAAAGAAAGTTGAACTGAAATAATTGAGAATTTTAAGATGTACAAAAAATCATTATGAATATGAGAAAGAGTAGAAGAAGCAGTCTTCTTATTGATCCAGTGTAATCCCACAAGTGGAGTCTGAGGAGGATAGAGTATACGCAGACCTTACCCCTACCTCGTGAAGGTAGAGAGGTTGTTTCCGAAAGACCCTCAGCTCAAAGTGCAGCATATCAAAGTAGTTATGAAAAAGGAGATACAGCAGTGAAGAAAAAATGTAAATTAATAAGGAAAGCACTACATAGCACATCGAACTCAAGCGGTAACTGAAACACAATAGAAAACAGATGGTAACAGATATCAAAAGCAAGAAACTACGTATATACGACTAATACTATGACAGACACACTGCTACCAGACTCCCACCAAGCCTAATCCCTCTGGAAAGCGAGAAAAAGCTCAACCACCTATTTCTTAACTTCTAGCAAAGGATGTGACATCTCAGCAGAACTCCTGTTCGAAGCCTAACTTACCTAAGTCAGAATCAGAATCACTGTCATTATGTAATAAGAAATAGAAAATCAAGCATGTAATAAGTATGTGGGCTAACCAAATCTTGACAGATTATATATATGCATTCGATCAGTATACCATTCTAGAAGTAACAGTTGATAGCTATCTCAGATCAAGAATAAGAAGAACTGAAAAATCACTGTCGTCATGTAATATTAAGTAGAAAATCAAGCATGTACTAAACAGAATATAAGGCATGACCATAAGTCAGATCTAGTTAAGAAACGATAAAGAGCGGGTAGTAGTACATCAGACTGACCATTCTGCGATCAATCATAGAGCATCCATCAGCACACAGCAGGGTTGGGAATGTATCAAATCCTTCAGAAAGACATAATTCAAGAATCAGCCTTATACCCCTTTGGCATTCTGGCATCTCAGCCAAAGAAGTGTCCCCTGTAGACTTTGTGTATGCACGAAGTAGTATAATCCACCAGAACCCTGAATCAACAGGAGCAACTCTACCAATAGCACTTTCACCGAAATCAGCAGTTATAGTCTCATAGTTCCTAACAGGATCATGAGATACTTTAAAACTTGCAGGCATAACTCCATCCCCCAACTTGAACTGGTCTATCTTCTTCTCCCGAGATTGGAGGCGCACGGTTTTCAAAAGAAAGTTCTTCACTATATCAGGTTCACCATTCATCAAGAATGCCAAAGCGCTGGGGACAAAATCTCTGACAAAAACCTGGCAAATTTTAAGTCAGCATTGCAAATTGCAAGCAGAATGGTTGTCCTGTACATAGAGAAAGACGACTATGAAAGGATTTCAGAAAGCTGGGCCCATCAGTAAGCTGGTTTTACCACTGGAGAATATCTAGAATCTGGTTTTAGATCAGAAGCAAAAAGGCTCAATGGTTCATTGGGGCTTTAAGCGCAAATAAGCATGAATAACAAATATGGACAAAGAAAATGATTATTTTTTTTGTGATAAAGTGAAATATCAATTGTTTAGTGTCGCCTCTTCATAAGAGGTTCATTGGCAATGAAAAGTATGTCTTAGAACCTTGCTAACGACACTGAAGCGCACATTAAGCGAGAAAAAGCACTCGACACATTTTGAGTCCCACTTCATGGCTTAAGTGCGCCTTTGACAACACTGGTTCTACGTAAGTTTTTATGTAAACTATTTGAACAATTTTTGATTAAGTGTAAACTATTTGAACAATTCTGTCAGTCAAGCTCAGCTCAAATTCATTGAAATAGCTGGGCCTGCAAACTATACCCCGGCTTCATCTTATCAGTCAACCGTAAACCAATCAATTGCACTGATAACTATAGTGTGGACATAGGAATTCAACATTTTCTGTTTATTACGTAAAGAAACATCTAGTACAACTTTTCAGAGGACATCCGTCAAATCAAGTTCCATTGCAACACATGATTGACCTGCTTCACGGGATATTAAATCGCAACAAAATACATAAAGACAAACTTGTGTCCATCTAAGAACTAGAACAGTAAGCATTTTACCTGATCATAGTTAAGTTCCTCAGCAGAATTATCTATAGCAGCAATAGTTCCCACAGGTTGATCTCGGAAGTTAACAATAGAACGCCTCAAAGCTTCCCATGCTTCGCCTATTATAGGATGCGGTTCATATCCGAAGGTTGATCTGGGTGTGTGTATGCCGGACCACCTTCCTGGTGAATACACTCCAACCATATTGTCAAAAACACGAGAAGAGTTCTCCGAATTTTTGTATACCTGACGTGGCGGTGAATGAGTCATTGACATTTCGCTGAAAGATCTTTCATCGAATGACCTCTTCCTTTCAATATTAACCTGTCTTGGCCTTTCCAGCAATCTGGCCAAATCTTCCTCGATTTCAAACAAGGATGGAGCAGCTTCCGCTTGTCTTGCATTCCCATTTTGAGACACATCCACAGGGCTAGGCATCTTTCGATACTTCTAAAAGTCCTGGACAATAAGAAATCGAACCCAAAGATCTGCATATCACCAATGAAATAAGAAAACTTTTAAAAATTCGTCCACGTAACAAAAGCTTAGTAAACACAAAGCTATATAGCTCAGACTCTTCAAAAACATCAAACAAGTGTGTGTCGGATCCTCTTTTGGAGGATCCATGGGGCTGCAACAACATTTTTGGAGAGTCCGAGCAACATCGAACGAGAACTTACATAATAAAGAATGCAATCAACTTGTAATAAAGAGTGCAATTAATGCCTCTTAGACTAGGAATACATTAAATTGAAATATATACCAGATCAGAAAATCAACATTTTTTTCCTTTACAAGCAATATTCACTGTAAGTTTGGTTTAACTCAACTTGAGCAAAATTAGAGCAAGTTCATTATACATAATTTTAATTAATTATTCATAATCATTAACTTAATCAAACAATCAAAGTCAAACTACTGTTAGATCTTCTTTTTCCTTTATCAATTTACTTATTTCTTTTTAATTCATATTTTGATCAATCTAGCAAAATACTCAAACCACCACAAAATGAAAAATCTCAAATGCAGAAAAACCTTAATATCATCGAAACAAACGGAAAAATGAAAAATTAAGGAACATAGTTTGAACACAAAATAAATAACCTAGGAGCTGGTAATAACAACCTCAAAGCTATCGGCGGCGGCGGCGGCGGCTACGGCGAACTTCAGTGAAATCTAAGGTTTCCGAGGAAGGCACCAACCATGAACTACCAGAAAGACTTTAGGACACAATGGGTCTTTCACTATATACAGTATGTTGGAACTGTGTGAAAAAAATTAACCGGGAAATGAAGGTCAAAAGACAAGTTGACTGGATATACCGGTAAGATTTTGTGCTTGTGACGTATGGGATGGTAACTGACACGTAGGATTGTCTGGGAATATCCGATTAGCAGTTCTGGGGTAATCTCCGACCAAACTTTGTCCGAAAATGGATTAGTTGTAATTGTAAATAGTGATTAAGGAAATTATTGTTGTTGTTGTGAACGATTATTACGATCTTAAGTATGATTAGTGATAACGATTAATCCCAGATCCTCGCGACCTAATAAGTTTTCATTAAAACTACCTTTAGTTTTTTTCTTAAAAAGGATGAAATTATAATTCTTTTTATCTCAATTTATACTACTCACTTTCCATTTTGATCCGTCTCAAAAAGAATCTGACATTATTATATTTGGTAACAATTTTAACTTTAAATTATTTGTTTTAATTTAATGAAATGATTTACAATTACATAAATATAAATAACTTATTTTAAACAGTAAGTTTCAAAAGTTTTTTTTTTCTTCTTAAATTATATGTCAAATCAAATTACCTCACATAAATTGTGATTGAGGGGGTAAGAAATAATGGTCAAGAACAAATTAGTCATTTGTTCCTTTTTTTTCTTACTTCAACAATGATGATAGTTGAGGTTGGAAAATAGAATAATTATAGATGAAAAGTGTTTTAATATACATATGGTGATAATTTAGATAAAATAAACAACGGATAGTTGAAATGTGAAAAATTCACAAAAAAATGATAATTCTAGTTTCTACCATTAGCTCAATTATTAATGTTGGAGAATTGATAATTTCTTAGATGGTAATTTTCTTAAACATTTATTACTAAAGAGATTAACTAGAATGTAATTTAAAACATTCTTTATGTAGTTTCTAAGTAATCAGACTTAAACTTCGTAGATACTGATGTTAGTAATCTCAACGATTAGATGTGCTAATTGTTCCGTTTTAAAAATCTGGATGAATTAGCCTTTTTTTTCTAATGAAATGATTTTGGTATTATTTTGTGTGTGAGAGAGTTATAACTTTTAAAAACTAGCTAGACAAAGAAACATGAAAAATAAATTAAAATAATCTACGTAATATAAAATATTAAAATAGGAAAATCATGTAACTTTCTTTTTCATTTAATTTTGATACTTTTATTCATTTTTTGTGCTTATTTCCATGCTTTATATTGCTACCTACTCCTTTGTCCCATTTATTTTTGTTGTTATTCTTCTTGCTTTGTTTTCAACGATAAGATTAATTTAGTCATTTCATAACTTCGATTTGCATGAATCTTCCCTCCTTTAAATATATGGTACAAAAATTAATTAATTATACCAAGTTGATTTTCTTTATTATTTATTTAAGCGTCCAATATAACTTTGTTGAAAATTTGTATTGATGTGAAAGCTGACTTAATATATTCTATGTGTAATTAGGTGTCGTTTGGACGGCGATGCTGATTTTTACAACGTGAATGTGAAATTATATTAATTAATTAGTAAAAGATTAATGTTAAGTAATGCAAATCCTATTTTTGATGCCAACAGATAATGTTGATGTATCTATTTCAAATTAGACCACCCTGTAAAGATATTACCCCACACTAACCTACCCATGTTTCACTTAATATATATTATCATGGGAAACAAAAAATTTAAATAAACGTAAAGACTTTTGATATACTAGTCTTTAATTATCTCTTTTTCTATCTGAATCGAGATCGGCAATAATTTTTTTTATATATATAATCAATTTTTTTTTCCAATGACATTGTTTGTTTGGATATCTTTTTAATTGCTATAGTAAAATGATGTAATAGAAAACATATCACATAACATAATATAAAAGTCGGTTTTTTAAAAAACTTGACAATTATAAATTTATAACTAGTAAAATATTGCTATAGGTGATGATTATTATAAGAATATCTTATGTTATGCATAAGCGGATTAGAAATTACTCGGCATATCCTCCTAAGAAATTACTATTCATCTTTGATTTTTGCATGCGTTGCGAAAAGAAGAAGAAGAAGGTGCAATTGAGTTTACAGGCTAGGAGAATGACATATGTGACTAATCTAATATGCATAATATAACATGTTAGTTGAATAGGTTTGTTATTACTCATTATTCACATGTCACAAACATTTGTATTTATAGTTTTGAAATCATAATAATTCGATATGATTTCCGAGTAACCTAACACGACATATGTGTTGAGTGTAACAAGAAGCCATATCTTTGTCATGATTTTCATGTTACGACTTTAAAATATATCATTTATAACTTTGAAATCATAGAAAGATGTATTATGAGTAAAAACGAATAAATAAAGGTAAGATACTAAAAAAAAAAAGAAATAAGTTCAAATAAAGTACCACAAGTTAAAAAAATTCAAATCATGATGATTTTATATGATTTACGAGTTATTAAATATAATAATTTGATTGAATATAACTAAGTCATATTATATGGAACGTAGTTAGATTTCAAATTATATTGTATCACGATTCGTGTAGTATGATACAAACACTTACAAGGGCTCAAAAGGAAGCAAGCCCAAGCCCAAACCGTAAGTTCAGGCCCAAGCCTCTGACTCCTACGCTGTAATTGTGTTCGTTTCAGATATCATAAAGAGTGCTGTATTTGACCGTTGAGAAAATTTTCGAAACTCAACGGTTCTACGCTCCATTGCGCTCTCTTTCTCCTTCAAACTCTAAAAAATTCTTCATTCTGCAATGGCGAAGTCCAGAAAACCAAAAAATTCTTCGGATAGAGAAAAATGGAACAAAGTGTTCAACGCTTTAGTTCACATGTTGAAATCACAGCAGACGCAGCTTGAATCCCTTGCAAAAGAGAGAATGATACTTGAAGATCGGATAAAATTACAGAATGATCGATGGGTATCTGATATTGATAGATTTCAAGAACAAATTTATGAGGTTACTTTGATTTTCTTCTTGAATTTTGCATTTTTACTTTATTTAGGGTTTTGATTCGTTGGAATTTTAGGGATTTTTGGTATAATTGGGGTTTTTTTTTTGGAAAATTGGGTTTGCAGATGAGGAAAAAATTTACAATTCAAGAGATGGAGCGCATGCTTGAGGTTGCGAAATCGGAGTTCGTTGTTGGTTTGAAGCAACGAGATGTTGCCGTGTTCCAAAGAAAGTTCGGTGAGTTACATTTGAAAAAAAGAAACTTTTCCTTGCCCTAAGCTTTGTTTGGTTTATCTGAAATTGGAGGATTTCATGGAAATTTGATCAAATTGAGTATCTTTATTTCCATTGTTGTTTATTTCCTGACTCACTTAGTTTAAAATCAGGTAGGAAGTAAATTTCTTATTGAGATGGACAGGGGGGGAGCCCAGTGGGAGCATGGGGGTTCACGAACGTGTTAAAATTATTTTTTATGCATATATAGCATATGTTGAATCTCCTTGGCTTCTTTGTGTGTTTACTCCTTCGTACTTTGAACTCCCTGAGTAAAAGTTCTGGCTCCGCGCCACTAGCTATGTAGAGTTCAAGGATGGTAACTTTCACTTTAAAGTTGCCCTTTTTTTTTTTTCTGTACTTGGTAACAATGATGCAATTTCGTGATTACTGCCTTTGATAACTTTTATGAGCCTTATTTTGCCTCTAGTTTGTGTTGGGTTTTAACCACAAAGTACAGTGTCACTGCCTAAACTATGGTGCCTGTTTAAGACAATCAATTTGATAGTGGAGCTTGAACATACAATTTCTTCACTTATTCAATATGGCTATCTCAATAAACTTTTACGAACCCAACTCTGAATAAAGTTGCATAAAATGATTATTATTTTCTTTTAATAACTTAGAAATCCTAGAGGACTAGTGGTGCTCGTGTCATATAAATTGAGAGGGAATAGAAACAGTTATGTGTTAGGACTAGTGGTGCATGTGTCATATAAGTTGGAGTGGAATAGAAACAGTTACATGTCAGGGCTTCTATCAGTCCACCCTATTTCTTGCTAGATAAGTTAAATTCTTTCAACACACTTTTATGAACCCAGCACTGAAATAAAGTACGTCGCAGCACTTCATTCAATTTGCTGAAGTCTATAAAGGTCCCCAAGAAAGCTGAATGGCATACAATCCCCTGATTATTTGCTAACTTTCTCCTTCTACAAACCATGGCTTTAAGTCATTAACTCAAATAATATAGAGAAGGAAAAGGAGTCTAGGACAGAGAAGTTATGGTCTTCTATGGCGTTCATTCATGTTTTTTTTTTCCTGTCATGTGAGGGAGTGAGGGATGGAAGGAAGGAAGGAGAAAATTAAAGGGAAGAGACCTTAGGGTGGGGGCTTTGACATGAATGGTTGAATTCTCAATCTGAGACTGGAAAAAGGGCATGTTACTTCTTTCGTTTTCTCTAGTTGACTCACTTTCTCGGACTGACTCACTTTCACTTGTACACATTTCAACTCTAAAATTTTCTCTTTGCAACTCATCTCAGGGCACACTAAACGTTCTTTTCACGTATCTTCAAGCTTGTCTAAGTGGATCATTTAAATTAGCAGAATGGAGTTCTGCGTGTTAATCAAAAAATTATGCAACCACATATCGATACACACTTGAACACACTTCTTTATGTATAAAGTTATCAGTTCAGTTCCAATTTAATTTCTAATGACCCTTAAGAGGTCTTCTTTTTTAATCGGTTTTTTCAAGACCAATGAAACCAAAAGCAAAATAGAAAAATTTAAAGTAACTATTTTTTATTGCAAGAGGCTATTTTAGATGTTTTTACTCTTGAAAGATAGATGTCTCCCCATCCCAGGGTATCAGTAGCCTTTATTGTTCAAGGATAGTCGATAGACATGATATTTTAAGTTATATCATCCCAGCATGCAATTTGGGAACTTACTTACTTTTCACCTAAAATGTGCAGAAAATGCAGATAGTGAACTGGCTGACTTCAGAGAATGGTTTGACTACCTCTCTCAGAAATGCTCTGAACCAAATGTATGTTCTTTCAATTGCCTTTTCTTTTATGAATTTCGTTTCTCATTTCTTTTCTGAGTTTTTAGTTTATTATTTGCGCTAGTAATCATTGAAAAACTAGAAGATAAGACGTATGAATATTCATTTGATCCACAGGATGTACCAAGGGCTGCAACAAATGAAAAGTCAGAGACAAGAAAAAAGGCTTGGGAAGATGAGGTGAGAAGGCTTAAAACAGAAAATGAGAAGCTTACTTCAGAGAAAAATTCTGAGATATCTGCCCTCTTGGCAGAAAAGGATTTTATTTGGAACCAGTTCAACAAACTGGAGCACGACATGGCTGAGCAATTGAGGAGAAAATGTACTGAGCTAGAGCATGCAAATGGTAAAATACAGGCATTTACGTGGAACATTGAGGAATTACAATCGTCCAACGCTAATAAGGATAATACAATTGCAACATTAAGAAGTCAATTGGATAATACAACTGCAACATTGAGAAGTCAAATGGCCAAATTGGAAGCTGACTCCGTCACTAAGAGTGGAGAGATATCCAAACTTTCTACTGAACTAGCGTTGCTAAAGAAGTGCGGAAGTGCCTCTGTCACTCCCGTGCTGCGTCGCTCCACAACTGGATCAGGACCTTCGAAGTTGGGAGGCACGTCCCGTGGAACAGATCAGAAGTATTTAACTGTCAAAGTAGAAAAACAATCTTCACATGCCCTTGAAAAGGTACCCTTGTCTTAACTTTAGAAGAAACTATTCTGCAGCTGTCCTTTTCCTGTTACATAATTTGTCCGTGTTAATGTTGTTGTTAATGTTCTTCTTTGAGGTATCTCGCCTAGTAGTTAAGTAAATTGGTTATGCATCTCCACAATTATTTGATCTCATTTCAAGAGCATGTCAGTATGTCAGAGAAATATGTTATGGCTTATGCTATATGTTGCTCAGATCCTTCAAAAATGCCGCTAGACATGTTTTTGATCCTCCAACACGATTATAGTGGCACTTTAGAAGATCCGAACAACATAGGTCTGTTATGTAAGCTGATAGATATTTGGTTTTTGTAGGGACAGAGAAGTTCCAAACGAAAAGCTGGTAATAGTATCTTGGGTGCTCCAAATCTCTTCACATCCTCATTTAAGGTACCTAAATTAAAAATGTCATCTCCCTGTGTGACATGACCTCGTCACCAGAACTTCGGTTTGTATCTATATTAGATGATAGATTTTAGGTACATACGTTCATTTATTGGATCTTGATCATCATCTGTACTGACCCTTGGATCTTGGTTCTTCAAGCCTGTGTGACAGTAAATTGTAGTCAGTACTAGATGTTTGATATTGTATACTAGAGAGATGTCTGTGTATGTTGTAACTAATTTGTTGCAAGATTTCATTGAACTTGGAGACTGACTAATCAGTAAATGAGGATCAGTTATTTGATTTGTGCATTTTTCTGGTTTTATAGTTGCACTATTCACGCATTTTTCTTGTTTTCTAGTTACACTTTTCACTTCCGTTGCGGACTCGACAGGATTCTCCATAAATACACTACTAAATTTATCTGCGCTTTGCGTTGTGTATTAATAAATTTAAAATGATTCCTTTTTCTAAAAGAAATAACAGTTTAGATAATAGAGAAATTTTCACAAAAGCTAAATTCAGTAAATTGACGAAATTTCATTCAGATAATGAACAAGATATATCACAGCAGTTCTTGGCTTGTTTTTACTATACGTCATAGAACACTTTTTTGCTAAAACCCAAACGCTATATTGCTAATTTTGGTATGGCTTGTTTTAACTACCCCCTAAAGTAGGGGTGGGGGTAAAGATGGAGGTTTTCGTAGAATTAGTCGAGGTGACAGATATCTGTAGAATTAGTCGAGGTGACAGATATCTGTAGAATTAGTCGAGGTGCATAAAAGACGGCCTGGGCACCACGGTGATCAGTAATAATGGCCGAAAACACTCATGATATTGACAAAAAATATAAAAAAAAATCGACCGGGCATAAGTTTAATTTTCGTATGATAACATGCCACAAGTTATGCTTACAGGGTATAACAAGCTTGACCCACACATTTTTCTTAAATGAGCATTTACGAATCATAATATAACACAAATTATATCTTACCAGGCAGAACAAGTTTGACCAACACTTTTTTATGAAGTGAATAATAGAGGCAAAAATTAAATATCATCATATTTGAGGAAAAAAAATTAAAGACCATATATTATCAATATGCAGATAAGATTATTAGAAGATAAAAATACACTTACATTAAACAACACATTCATAACAATCCATATATTATCACTCACTGCATAACGATTCATATATTATATTACCTCAGAAAACCAAATATTACCTCTCTAAATATTATCTAAAGAAATGAAAAACAGTTCCACCCTAATCATACTAATCCTAATATATACCTAATCCTAATTATGTACAAGCTACCACCCAATACTTTCGACACAAAGGATAACAACATACATGAAAACTACTACACAAGCAAAAATAAAAAAACTAAATATTGAACCTCATCGAGTGTAAATTCTGGATCCGCCTCTGCTCAGTATCGAACATGTTTTCAAAGCATACGAAACCAAGTAGATTGAAATGAATCTTGATAATGAACCATGACCAAAAGCAACACCAAAAGCAAAGCAATTCCCCAAGGAGATCCACCTTCTTGGCTAGCCAAATGGTACACAACTGGCCTTGTAACTCCTCCATAAGGATAAAACCATCTATTACTATCAATCATTATATAGACCAAAAGTATGATAAGAAAAGGTAATAAGAAAGACATAAGCTTCATACTAGCCTTTGATTTTTCTACTGTTGCTTTGTATTCTGAATATGTAGACATAGACATCAAGAAAATTACTAAGCCAAATAAAACTATCAAAGCTAATGGAGGTGCTGATATTGATTCTAGAGTTTGGTCTCTCCAACTAACTCCTCTTCTTTCTCCTATGAACCAACCCATGATGATATCAATATGGAGTAATTCTTATTTTTTGAAATAAGAATGGTTTTTTTCTTCTTCTTTAATTTAGTTTTCTTGAAGGACTATATGGAGCAAAGAGGAATATGTGATTATATATAGAGGAAGAAAGGTGGTGTCTACCTTGTGGTTAGAGACAGATGGAGCTTTACTTTGGATGGGATCTAATCAAAGGCGGATTCAGAATTTAAAATTTATGGATTTTTACAGCAAGTTTGGAAATGCTTTATTTTTAAGTCGAGAGTTTATTAGAAACAACCTCTCTATTTTCTATGAGGTAGGAGTATAAGGTCTGTGTATACGTTATCCTCCCCAGACTCCACTTGTGACATTGTGAGATTATACTGAATATGGTGTTGTTATTGTTGGTTTCTGTAGCAACTTCACGTTTTTTTGAGAATTCGTTATGAAGGCTACCACAACTTTCTTCTTGTATTTGAATTTGAGACTGGTAATATGAGTAGCTTTAACATGCGGATTATATATTCAAGTTAATATATAATAATACCTAAATTTAAAGTCAAAACAAAATATTTAGTGGAATTCTTAATTAATACATACAAATGATCATTACAAAAGTTATTAAGTTCACGTGAACTCGTAAATTATAAGCTAGTTCCACATCTTTGATCAAATTGAACTCAATATTTTATACGATATGAACCATAACATGATGAATTCAATATCAAAAATTTTAAAAATTGAACCCGTTAAATTTAAATTCAATATTCGTACTTGGTGTGATCATAGGCTATGGTATAAATTCTGCCTTTTTGGATTCCATCAATAGAAAACCGTCCTTTCTTTGTTTAGATTCTTACACTTTGAGAAAAGGGGATTGATTCGAAGATGATAGTAAGCAAATGGGCAAATAAACAAAAAGCAAAGTATATATTCTTTTTTGATCATTATTGTGTAAAGTTACAAAAAATTTCAGTATAATTGGTGTCTCACAACTAAGGTATTGGTCCATTTACTTGCCCATTAAGTCTAACGTTATTCTGATTAATCACCATCTTAATACCCACTGATTAAACTATAAAACTATATAATATAATTATGATAGATTATTTGGGAAGTGAGTGTCTGAGCATTATAGAAATAGAGACAGTTAGATTTAGGATTTAAATTTAATAGGTTTCATTTTTAAAATTCGTAATATATGTTATACTAGTTATACTATTAAAGTTATGAGTTCAAATATAATATTCCTTGATATTTTAGTTATTTTTTAGATATATATTCATACTTGGTATTGATTGGAAATTATGACTTTAGATAAATTCAAAAGTCAAAATATTACACCCACTCAAGAGGCTAAAATTCATTTGTTCTCAATTAGGAAAGCAGCATATATGAGTTAATATCCAGATGATCGCTTATTCGAATGAATACAATTTTATTATATATTTTTTTAAATAATTTCAAAGAGATAATTGAATCAAAGCAATATATTTAGTTAAATTGCCTTAAATTCATACATCTGAATAGTAACAAGTATGATGACAAATCTACCTAGAAAGGTACAACGTGTTTATTTGACCTAAAAAAAGACATCGATGCAGAAAAACTTATGATTACTTCCAAAACGCGGAAAGTATAACGAGAATATAATCTTTCTTCATCCTCTTTAATTCTCCTTTTATAATTCTCACATTATAATCGATGGATACTTTTAAAGATTTCAACAAAGTGGTGTTACGTGCTATGGGACAAGGTGTATTTACTTCAGGATATATAAAATTATAAGAGAGGTCCTTTGATATAAATTTAAAGTTATATTTATCTCATTTAATTATTTTATATTGATATTAATAAAAAACTTACATAAATTTAAACCGAAATTTTGATATTAATTATATGGGATGTATCACTGATGAAAGAGGCCAAAATTTGATCCTTTTCCATTAGGAAAGTGCATAAACAAATATTAAATTTAAAGTTTTAAACTATTTCCTCAATTGAATAGATTTTATCATACGTATGTAGTGTAATTGAACCAAAAATCAATATATTTGATTGATTTCATCACTATTCGCCTTAATTTTGTATATTTGAAAATTGAACAACAAATTTGATGACAAATGGCATGCATGCAAAGACGCAAACGTATTATTTTGACTTAAAAAAAATTTGCTCACAAGACGGCTTTTATGAATTTATCGTAGAAAAAATTTATGATTGCCTTCAAAAATAGAAAGTATAAATATAATAATTATAATCTTTTTTCATCTTCTTTAATTCTCTTATTATAATTCTCACATTATAATATGTGGCTGATTTGTTCTCAAACCAAACTAACCCCTAAAGAATTGAATGTTAAAGCATGATAAAGGTATGAGAAAAATCAAGGTCCCAATAATGAAGAAACTTTAGCCTGAAATTTAATGCAAAATATTATTACAATGAGTTAGGCAGCTTAAATGGTGCCACTTATAAATAATTTTGGTGGATTGAAATGAAATGAATTGTTTTGATTTAGACAATTGATTGAAATCTACACATTATTGTTTTATGCTTATTGGGTTTGCAATCTCCAAGTCAATGCATTCAATCAATATTGATATTATCTCCATCTTAATTTATATGATATCATTTGACTTGATATAAAATTAAAAAAAGAACGAAAGATTTTTAAAATGTGTGATATAATATGCTTCTGCATTTTCTTGAATGAACTGGAAACTTCATCATATTTATTTTTTAAAATAAAAGGAACAAATAGTAAATTCTTAAAGTTGTGTCATACATATATAACGAACCAAATATGTATATCTTTTCCACTTTAATTCTTAAAGTTTTTTTATATAAAAAAAGGGACCTATTCAATAATTGAATTCTAGTACCATCTACATGGAGATGGTGGACTGCATTTGATTCATCCAACAGCTTTTCTATTTGGTGAAAAAGAAAAAAAAACTTTTTGACATTTTAATGGCAGACAACAGGGTAGCAGTAGAATGGTTGGAATATGAGTGGTCACTTTTGAATATCTTTCGTCAAAATACTATATAAGACATATAAAAAATAATATTGTGTATATGGATCAAAATTAATTTCTTGAAGATGTATATTAAAATTTTAAATATTATTAACAAAATTTCTAGTTTCGCCACGGATCCTTCCACAGACTAGAGGGAATACGAGTTAAAATTTTCTTAGATCACAATCAAAATATCCTTTTTCCTTCTTTCTCTCTTAACATCTGGATACATACATCAACTTTGTTTGTGTACAATGTATCTGATACAAATGTTATTGTTGATACATAATCCTAATTATTTCAAACCTATATCAATATAAATTTGATTTACAATTATGTATCTGATACATAACTTATGCATGGTTTGCTATTGTATCGGATGAATGAGCAATATATCTGCGAGTTCTAAAAAATTCAAAATTATTGTAATTTGAGGAACTTTGGGGTAGGATGTAATTAACACCCAAATTATTGGGGTTTCTGTATTTTATATACTCCATCTGTTTCACAAAGAATGACCTCCTTTCCTTTTTAGTCAGTTTAAAAAAGAATGACCTCTTTCCTTTTTTGGTAACATTTTACTTTTTGCTTTCCACGTGGCATGTTTAAGACCACAAGATTAAGGGCAATTTTGTACATTTGACATAACTTTAATTTAGGACCACAAGATTTAAAAGTCTTCTTTATTTACTTAAACTCCGTGCCAAGTCAAATCAGGTCATTCTTTGTGAAACGGAGGGAGTACAATTTTTTCTTAAATGATGATCTAAAATTTCTGATTCTTAGCCCATTTCCTCCGTATTGGGCCTCTATCATGGACCCCATTATTGGGCTTAAAACCCGAGAATCTGAATGTTGTGTTAGGCCCAAATTAAAAACCAGTTAACCAGAATACCAAAAGCTTCTTCTTCGTTGAGAAACCCTCCACACTTCACCATTTTTACAGCTGATTTTTTCGAATTGAATCCTGAAAATGTCGTCTGAAGACTCAAAGCCAGTGAGGAAAGTGGAAAGTGATGACGGAGAAAGCATTGGATCTCTTCTGAACAGCAAAAAGAAACCTAACAACAATGCCGGTTCAAAATCTCAGCCTCCCAAAAATGCTAAGATGAAGAAAGAAGAAAAAGATGATGATTTTGAAGAACCCATTTCGAAAAAGAGTCCTAAGAATGTTAAGCCCAAGAAGGAAGAACCTTCACCCATGTCGAAGAAAAGTTCGAGTAAAACTGATAAAGTTGGTATTTTTTTTTTGTGCATTTTTGTTATTTTACTGTTTGATTTGTTGGTTTTTCAATTGGGTTTGTTGTGTAGAAAGTTGTAAAGAAAGAGGAAGAGGATAAGAAGAAAGGAACCAAAAATGGAGACACCATTGTGAAGAAGAGGGAAAAGAAAGTTTATGATTTGCCTGGACAAAAGAGAGACGCTCCTGAGGAAGTATGTTCCAAAAATGCATTTGCAAAAAGACCATTTTTTCGGGTTTTAATCTGATGTAATGTTACATTTTTGGATTTTCAGAGAGACCCCTTAAGAATTTTCTATGAATCCTTGTATCAGCAAGTGCCAGAAAGCGAACTAGCAGCTATCTGGTATAACATTCTCCCTTTTAAATGATTTTGGATAAGTTACTCGTGCGTAACTCTCTTGTCGTTTGTGTTTATGAATATCATGATACATGAAGCTGTCTCTATCTTCTTTGAGTTACTGATTGCTTGAAAAAGAGAACCTTGAATGTTATTATGCTCTTAAAGGTCAAATTTGGTTCTTGTCCTAACAAAGTGTGTGTTATTCACCTGGTTGATGCTTCTGTATCAGCTCATTTCATTTAGTCATATGTTTCGTCGGATGAGTAACTATTCTTAGTCTAATGGTCTAGATCTATTCATTATCAAACTGAAAGAAGAGTAGGGGTAAGAAAATTCTGTTTGTATCTGGGTGCCCCTTAGATTGCATAGTGTATTTTTGCTTATTGTACAACAGATAGTGGAAATACAAGGTGTGTTGCTTGAATGTCAATGTGCATGGAAGTGCAGATGGGCTGGAACTAGCTAAGGGAAACATGTGAAGTAAGCAGAACAGCCCTCGTTTGTAAACTTACAAGTCACGTTTTTTTCCCTTTTTTAAATAAAGAAGCATCAGCATGATATAAGTTGTACGTCTACAACTGAGAAGCTTGGTGAAGTTGCTAATTGAGTAAGTATCCATTGGGCAAGGAATCTGCATCTTGACTTTGCCCTTTTCGCTCAGTTACATACAATACATATTTTTTGATAAAGGTAAAGTAAGTTAAGTACAATACATATTTGGCCACTTTAGTCGTAATCTAAGAGGTTAAGCTTGCTATGATCATCTAATGCACTTCTTTAGATTTGTTATAGGAAAAAATCTACTTTAGTTTGAATATGCAGAAATCATCTTTCAAGTGTTGATTTGAACATAGGAAAAAATGAAATTGAAAGTATATAAGCTTTGTTATAACTTCATTCAAACTTCGTCTGGAATGAGAAAATGGATTGTTTCAACCTTTTGACACTTTATATGATGAGTTCAGCTGACTTCTGACTGAAATTGTGACATATGTAAGGTGAAAACTTTTCTGGTAGTGCATTTTCCCACTTATTGACTATGGTTTAGTATCATCCTTATGCAAAGCACTGTTTCACTGGGCACAGGCTTTTACATTGAGTACTTGGGGGATTAGGTTAAAGGTGCCACCAAAAATAATTTGTGATAGTCATGAGTGTTGGTAGTGGTTATAATGCAAAATAATGTGTGTGTCTGAAGCTTAAGATGGGAGCTTTCTGTGGAACTTTGTTGGTTGTGTTTTGTTATGTTCAATCATATGCCTTTTGCATGCGTAAAGAAAGATAGTTGGGAAGATCGATAACATCTTTTTCTTCATTTAACTGATGGAGGATATAGAGGCATGTGAGTTTAGACTGTTTAGTCAGCACATTTGACATGATTTTGATGAAATATTGTTGCAATTACTTCAACCAAGATCTCATGGCTTACTTATGGCTGTCCTGTTGCAGCACATGCTACGAAACTATTTAGCCCATTCTTTGCATTATCATGCTTAGACGTCACTCAATTTCTTGAGTTCCACTGTGGGTTGATGCTAAATAACTGTCTGATGTTGCTCATCTATTCCCTGATACAAATTGTCACTCTTCCATTTCTGTCTCTCTAAATCCACCCTGATCACCAAACAAGCATTAGAAGTAATATAAATTGAACTAGTTTCTCTAATGAATTTGGCGGCTGTCTCTGTCTATAAATGTTCATAAAACTGGCCAAACAATGTCTATGCATGACTGGTTCCTCCTCATCAGCTCTTTTGACAATTGGTGATGCTACAGAAAGGATCTTGATGGATCCTTATTCTTCAAAATGTCTGCTTGCAACTGTTAACAACCAAATCCAGAGTTGTTCATGATGGTTATAAAAACTACAACTGTTCCTTGCAGTTGAATTCAAGTAATTATATCCTGTTACTGTTGTTCTTGCAGGATGATGGAGTCAGGTTTGCTTCCCAAGGACTTGGCGAAGAAAGTTTTTGAGAAGAAACAAAAGAAGGCCCAGCAGCTAAAGCTTGGTTCACCTATGAAAACTGTTGTGACAGTGAAAAAGACCACTGAGTCTGTTACCATTAAGAAGACGACATCCTCCTCAACCTCGTTATCCACACAGAAAAAGAAAACACCAGATTCTGGAGCTAAATCAAAGCAGCAGTCAAAGAAACGGAAGCTTAAGGATGATTCTTCTGAAGAAGACTCAGATGATGATTTCGTTGCAACTCTAAAAAGCACAAAGAGACAGAGGGCCTCTTGATGTTTCTAATGGCTAAGCCAAATTGTAGATGAGAAATTAACAAGTCGCCATCGCCCAGTAGAGTTTGCCATGGCTAAATCTGTTATGTAAAAGTTCCTATTGATGAGCTATGAGATACTCTGTTACATGCATTTCAATTTCAGACTCTTTGAGTTATGGAGAAACCCATTCTAAAAATCATTGGTCTATTTTGACTTTTGTTCTTTCTTTTTCCCCATTTTGTTTTTTCAGGCTCTAAGTTTCGAATACAATTACAAAAAAATGTTTCTCAAACTTCATTGCCCCATAAGAAATAGGGGCGAGACAGGAGCTTAATTACTTCGAGTATTTATGACTCTGATGGCGACACATGACCGGTGAATCTTAGAGCAAGCACTAGAATAGTTGAAAAATTCTAAGTAAACATTTGATATGATACAATCAATATAGAAGAAGTTCAATTTTTTATTAGTTCAAATTCTTTCATTAAATTTGAGTTGGTAGACAGTGGATGAGTGTGTCAACTGAATAGTTGGTTTTCTTGAGAGTTAGCTTTATTAGAAATAACGTTTATTAGTCACTTTTTTTATCATCTCTTTAAAAAATAGTAACCATAAAGCATTTTTTTGGTCATGTCTTTAAGTGTCTTTTTTTTTTTTTAGCCATAATAGGTTTTAATTCTTCTGTTTTTATTTAGTTTTTCACCTTGCTTTCTTTCTTCAAAAGGTCAATAGTTATTCTCCATTTATTTTCAATGCCGACTTTAAGAGGGTGTTTGGGTTGACTTAAAAGTTGGTCAAATATACTTCTAAGTCAGTTTTGGACCTTTGACAGTGTTTGGTAAATATAAAAATAACTTAAAATAAGTTACGAAATGTTTTGCAAGGTTATAAATAACTTAAAACAAGTTTAAAATGACTTAAAATAAGTTAAAAATCAAAAGTAGAACCCCCCCCCCCTCCCCCACCCCCACCTTATTTTTATCTTTTAACTTAAAAATCATTTTTATTTGGACATTCTTCCTGAAAGAGACCATCCATGGTTGCTCCAATGGAAAATGCATGTTTTGTTATGGTTTGCTTGATTGTTGTATCATTGTTAACGTAACTCTACTTTTTTCATATCTATATATTGTTACAATTGAATTGCTTGATTGTTTGTATAAAATCAAATTAAAAAGTGCATTAATGAGTATATTATTATATTAAAATTATTCTATAAAAAGTATAAATATTTGAAAATAGATTTAAGACGGTACTTATTGAGTATTCTAATTAGAGTATCATTTTTTACTTGTATAATATAAGCCAAAATAATCAATATCATAGTAATTGATTTGCTTAAGAAGATATTCAAAATTAAAACAATGCTTTTAAAATCTAATCGTTTAATGTCTAAATAAAAACTTAAAAGATTGGAGAAAAATCTTATAAAGACAAAATTTAAATTGAAGTGAATTATACAAAACTAAGAAGTAGAAAACAATGCAGATTTAGTTACCTACAAATGCAATCATAGTTTAGTCAATCGTATTTTCTAAATAGAAATTTAATAAAAATATGCACATAATAATTGAAAAAAAATTTGGTAAAAATATTTTAATAAACACTAATAATCAATACCCCGCTTTGTCTAGCTCATACAACACATTCTTTATTAGTCCTACCAAAAAATAACACATTTTTATATTTAGTAAAACTTTAACTTTAAAATATCTATTCTACTCTGATATATTTTACAGTCACTCAGTCAAACTACATCATATATATACCTTATAGTCTCTTAGTCAAACTACCATATAAATTGAAACAAATAGAAGTATATTTATACTAATTATAACACAATTGAGCCGTCCCTTGTCTCTCTAATGGCTAATCATCAAGAATTACCTGAAATAGCAGCACAATGTGCTGCTATGACGGAAGAAGAAAGAGAAGTTATGGATATTCTGTTAAGTTTACCGGAGCTTATAGCTGATTTACGCGTTTATGGCGAAGATCAGCTTATTGCTTGGGGCTGGAAGAGACGGAGGTCAGCCGTTAATTATCCTCAAACTCCATTACCGTCTCCTGATTCTTCTCCGTCTCCTCCGCCGCGAGAAAATTGAAGATTTTGAAGTTTAGAGTTGCATATAATACTAAGTTTAACGCCGTTAAACTTTAACCTAGCTGGATGATTGAGCTGATCGATCATGTTGATCATGCTTAGTGTTATTGTGGAATTATTATTTGTACAGCTTATAATAATTAAGATAAAAATAATCAGTTTAAATTTAATTTACGTTTTTGTTATAGTACTTAGGGCTTGTACGTTTATGTTCTTACAAAATCGTTTTATATTTATCCTTGTCTGTAACGGAGCTTCAACATGAATAAGACGGGTAAAAAACCCTAATTCCTTTTTGAGTTTGAGCTAAAGTTACTAGTTTCGCCGCCGTTTAATTATTTGGTAAGGAAAATTAAAGGTAAAATTAAGATAGGTTGTTTTTTTTTTTTGTAATTTCCTCTAAATTAATCAGTTTGTAGAATATACAACAATTAGAACAGTTTTGATAGTTGGAAGATTCTCTTAAACAGCTAGTTATTTATTTACTGGATGATTAATCTTTTATACGACTTAATTAATTTGTGTTACTTTTATGTAGGAGCAATATATGCAGGAAATTATTGAGTTGCTCAAGGTCCAGAGTCACCTAGAGAAGCAAATAATATTCAACAACACCTTGCAATAGTTAACTGCTGGAACAACAACTTGGCACCCCGTCAAACTTCGTTATAACAACATTCTTTGACAAAATACTATTATAAGTTATTTATAATATAATATATGAATAATCTGTCAATATTAATGAAATATTATTATAAAGAATGGCAATATTATTAGTTTCTCTTCTGATCTTATCATTAGAGAGTTAATTATAATATCTCTCTCTACCTTATTTATCATTGTTATATTTGTGAGATGACAAAAAGGTAATATAACTTGCGTGATTGAATTGGTGCAATATGTGATATCTCATAAAGAAGGTCAATGATCAATTTTCCTTGTCAATGTCTTCTCAATAAAGCTTGTAACATCTGTTTAATCAGTCTCCTGATTTTTGAGCTATTGCATAAGAACTCTTTTGTCTTATTAATTATAATTAGCGTTAGACTGTTGTCTGATTAGTTTGGACTAGTCATGATTTTATCATTCTATGCAATGTTCAAAATAATATTCCTAAGTTCTAAAATTGTTTACTATGTATTTGATGTACGTAGCAGTGCATGACTGATTCAAGGAATTAATTTGTTTCGATCTGCCTTAAGTGATCCTCTACGTGACGCAAACTCATAATAAAAGAATGAAAAGAAGTACACTAAATATTGTAAAATTGTTAAAAATTCACTAAATATATACATATAGTATACTTCAAATCCATAAATATTCTAATATATAACTCATAAATTTTAAAATCTAAATATTTTGATGATTAAAATCATTATATAAGCTTTTTTTTATAAAAATCAAGTTTGATTATCGGAATTTTTATTTAATTCGAATTGAAAAGGAGTGAAAACTTATAATGGATTTTGATTGTTTTGGCCCATTTGAGCTTAGCAATGAAGTACTGTATATATTCCACGCACGTAAACATTCTCTCTTTCACACCCACAAACTCTATATAGAAAGTCTTATATCTCCCGTGTGGTTGATTTACGAAATATTACATATAGTACGTAGCGACTGTGAATTCTTCTGAAGGTTCCCAAAAAAAATAAAATACAATGGAGCTTAGAAGTGACGAAGTTGACTGAATTTATTATTTTATCAAAACATTAATATTTATATGCAAAGTATAACTATAATATCAATAAGTACTAAATTTTTGAATTTATAATTTTAAATTTCCCTGTCGCATAGGGCTTTCCTAGTGCCGTTTATATTCCCTGTGTAGTTTGCAGGCTATTATACATCGAATGTTTGCCCAATGCGCACAAAGTGCTCACCCGAAGGGCGGCTGTAATAGAAGTTGTAGCGGCTGCGGGTATCGTGAGGTTCAAAAAAGAAATAAAATAAATAATAAAAAAAAATATTCTATTTCAACTAGAACTTTAAAAGATGAACTCGTAATTTAAATTTTAGATCCATTTTCTTTTAGATTAATGTAAACATAAATTAGTACTAGTATTGATATAGTCAACTTAATTAAACCAAATTACCCAAGCAAAAGCTTCATTCAGCTTTATAGCAACTAGAACCAAATACCATGTATCCCTTTGGACCCTTTGCACCTTTTAAACTCAACTCCCCAAAACTTATTGTATCTTCTTACGGTATATCATTTTTAATTTTTTTAAAAAGCCCTTAAAATCTTCCAAACTTTTTCAACGTCCTTTATAGTCTTACCCTTTTGAACCCCATGCCCTTTTTAAACTCTCTTTTTAGATAATTGTACATTTTCCCTAGTGACTCAAAGGTGGAGTTAACACAAATACAGAGTTTTGGGTCAAAATTATTAGATTTTGTTGAAATCGTAACTGCCCCCCTTCCAAATATTCCATATGCTTATATAAATCACACTTTTCTTCTTTTCTAGTCTCTAATAAGTATTTCTAATTCTAGCTTTTGATCTACAAGTATGGCATATAACATGGCAATTTCCTTGTTCAATATGATGTGTTACTACAATTCCTATTTCTTTCAATCACAAGAAATTGCAAATTCACTCCATTCAATCTTTTCTCTACTAACCTCACTACTTCTCAGCTTTCTCATATTGAAGTACCAAAATCATGACAATACACCCTTTGAAACACACCCCAAATCCATATATTGTGCCATAACAAGCTTTGTTGCTTATTCCAAGTTACATGACATAGAAAAAAGATTTTCTCCACAACTACGACGTATAATTAGAAGGAATTGTGCCTATGTTGTTGTTGTTCATTGTTATTCTATGTTGTTGTTTGGATCATTGTGTGTTGCATCTTTGGTGTCTATTTTGCTACCAGACTCAGCTAGCCCTGCTTTGTATTTGCTCTGTCTCATGCTTCCTATTTGTGGATTACTACA